TTTGACATTTGCTACAAAGAGCCTTGTAGTAAAGATGTTCCACCAGCGAGCAGTAGCCTTTAGTTTTTAATCCTCTAAGTGATCGTGACTCTACAAACCAATCTGCAAGACTTGCTTTACTGTATTTTATGTTCAACGGTTTTATGTTTTATATTAAGGATTTTTTCCTAATTCAGAATAATACAGATTACTGTATTACTAAATAAATAACAAAATAATAAATGACTTTTTAACAGCAGGTCTGCATTACAAACTACGGACACAGGGTTTAGAAGACATTTACCAGTCAGTGATGGCCTAATGAAAGATGTTTTAGTTACATGAAGGAAATTACAGATATTTGATCCATATTAGGGACCAAACAACATGATATTTGGCCTCTGCTGCTTTTATTTTGACCATTCTGCGTTTTGTTTATTACATTATAGAAGGAGGATATTAATTATATTATTTATACATTTAAAGTTCCCTGTTATATAGTGGGATGTTTTCTCTCTTCTATTATGTTTAAACATGTAAAATCTATTTGTGCAATGCAGCATGAGAGATTTGTGGTTTGGCTTGATAATATTCAAAGTGCGCTTTGAATTTTCTTCTGGGGACACATCTCCTCACATAGAAACTCTCTGATACTTCCCTCGTCTTTGATTGGACAAGCGTTGACCACCTGACCAGGTTATCTTTTTTTTTTTTTTTTCAAGGTGGAGTGAAATTAAAGATAGGGTATGGTATTTGTCTTTGCGTAGCACATTAGACTTGTATTGACATTTTTTAGATATCATTACAAACAACTGTCTTTTCTTTTAATTGCTTTATGAGGAATAACAGCCTTTGGAGGCTTTCTGGACCTCGAGTCGTCAAGCTTGGTAGTGGATTAAGGTGTTTTATTGGTCTATTTTTGTATGTCCTTTATCGACAGGAGGCTAACATAAGGTTACAACCCGGAGTGATAAGGCAGCAGAATGGCCTGAGGATTTGACCTAGGAGGACATTTATTGGGACAACACATCTGCCGGCTGCCTGCCATAATCACCACCGAGGTAAAGGCATTGCTCAGAGGTAACTTAAGGTAGCCTAAAGCTAATACAATATTATTAACGTCCAACTTTTTAGCCTTTATTACCCTAACACTTATAAAGATTAATATTACTGCTGTTTGGTTTAAAACAACAGTTTCCTAATGATGCCATTCATCTGTGCGCAGTAAGAGGAGGCATGTCACCCCCCCCAACCCTCTGCACCATTAACTGCATCCTCTGGACCACTGTGTCTTATGGTATAGACTTCCCTGTTTAGAATAACAACAGCGCCAGCTTGTGGTGTGTTTCCGCAGATACAAGGAGCTTTTTTTATTTTAAATACCGGAAGTAAAGCCGAGGTCGTCATGGGGAGCAAAGTCAGCTCCAAAATGGCTGCTCCTGCCGGCCGAGTTATCCAGGTAATGCTGCTCCTTAAAAAATTGAATTAACTTGTACAGAAATGTTGTGTGTTGAACTCAGATGAATGTCGGGGTGTAAAAATGTCGCTTGTTCTGTTGTTGTGAACAGTTGGTTAATTATTTACCACGTTTAGGCCTTTTTCTTTTTTCTCCTGTGGTGACATGTCGCCGTACCCTTGTTGATGTCCTTGTTAAACCACAAAACACACAGTCGACTCAAGTGTTTCATCTGGTCGAGACAGCAGCAAGAATCAGTGTTTGAACGACTAAATCAATATCAGCTTTAATTGACATCTTCACTGTGTTGGCGGGGCTGTTATAGCTCAGTCCGGCTGGTTGCTGGAGTCAGATTGAGGAAGCAGTTTAAATAACTTTTAGAGCTGAAATTGACCTAAAATAGCTGAAAGACAGAAACACATTGTTGACAGGTGTGGGTTTTTTTTTACACACACAAGGGGTTTGACTCTGGTTTTAAGTTGCTGTCAGTGTACTTACACTTACATCCTAGAATAATTTACATAGAGACAGAGGTAGACATACATTGTTGGTAAAAACAAGGACAACAAAGCTGAACTAAGATCTGTTATCTCGTTCAATGACAAAGGGACTGTACCTGACAGCCCTTTTATTTGTACAGTAGTACACCAGCAAACATGTAAACAATCTGTGTGAAGTTTTAGGGCTGCAACTAATGATCAGTTTCATAATCAATTTATAAAGTAAATTTTTAATATAAAAAGTTTTTCGTTTAATTGATTAATTGATCTAGTCTACGCTGTCTAGAATGCTTCCCAATGTTTTCCAGATTAAGGTGCCAAAGCTGTTCAATTTACAATCTATTCTGTATTAAGCAACGATCAAACAGGAAGATAGGATTAGGGTGTTTTGTATGTTTTGCTCGACTTATGACATCAACAATTCATTGATTATCAAAATTGTAGTCTCTCTACCTCAGAGTTTTCATAGTCAACTAAAACTGTTGACTAAAACTGTCTTTTAGTTAACTGAAATGAAAGTAAAAACTTTAAAAGACTTCAGAACAAACTAAAATTAACTGTAACAACATTGTGTACTGTAAGAAACTAAAATAACACTAAAAATATATTGAAAAAGTCTGAATAAGATGAAATAAGACGTTCTTTTATTGATCCCGGTAGGATAAATATAGTGCAGATATACTAAAAAATAAAATATCTAATGAAAAGAATATACAATATATACAATAAAGTTATGAATTAATCCAAATTAATAACTGTACATGTTAAATGTATCATATCAAGCATGAAGAAGCGTTGGTTCATGTTTATTGAGACAGGGATGTCTGCATGACTTGAATTAACTGCCTTTAATAACTTCTTAAATCTTGTCCCTGACAAACACCACCCATATTATATTTAAAATGAATACAAAACTGTAATAACTCTGCTCTGGTCAACAGTTTCATATATTTCTAGTGGTAGCTTCCCAGTTTTAAGTTTTAACTGCCAATATTTTGACATATCTGCTACTGAAATACTCTGAAATATTCTGGTGCTCGGTTTGAATTCGTAAAGATCCACAGCTATGTGCTTTTCAAGAAACAATGTACCAGTTACTATGTAATCAACACACCTAGCAGCCATTTGCACTTCCTGTGCATTTAACTCACAAATCCTAATTCCTACTTCCTACACTTGTTTGATTTTGTGTGTGTGTGTGTGTGTGTGTGTGTGTGTGTGTGTGTGTGTGTGTGTGTGTGTGTGTGTGTGTGTGTGTGTGTGTGTGTTTGCAGGCTATTCGGCCTCATACGCCTCTGATCAAGTTCCCAAAAAGACAAGACCTCGCAAGGCCCAATGGTGTGTATGAGGAAAGGGAATAACGTAGTTGACATAATGATCTTAATGAAGGAGCTTTCCCTGAAAAAAATGGCTCCTTCCTTCCTGGCCTATTTGATTGTTTCATGTTGTATTATGTCTTTCTGTGTCTAACTGGCCAGATGTGAACATCACTAAAGGGAATCCATCAGTAGATTATTACTTTGACAACTAGAATTTGACCCTACAATTTTGGCTACATATGAACTTTTTTTTAACAACGCTCTGATAGATGAATACTCAACAGTCTTAATGAAAACAGATTCAACCTTTTTTAATTATTTTAGTTATTTCTGATTTCTCCTTAATGCTTCCTGTGTTACCTTTTATAAACTCTTTTTTTCTCTTCTTCTAGCCCAAGAGGCGTTGAAAACGTTAGCAGTAAGTCTTCCAACACAAGATGCTCCAGGTTCCCCTTCACCCGCAGCGCCGCCTCCATTATCAAGACCTCATGTACCTTTAACCCCAGTTCCTGGCACGCCAGACACTCTGGCCTCTATTCAGCTACTAACTGCAAGGTACCGCAGGAGACCGCTGACAGTAGATGAAATGGACTACATCCAGGTGAGGGGACCGCCTGTGTCTTATGCAGTACATAGAACATTTCACTGACAATTGAGTGGTCTTGAAAATGTCAAGTTAATTTGGTATCAGTTAGAACATAACCTTTGTATCTGGTTTAAGATAAACCTGCATATTAACCTTTGGACTTAAAAATCCTATAGATTTTAACCTTGGTATGCTGTGGTACTGTATGTATAACTAGTGTGATGTTTCAGTGTACTAAAACTACCACGTTACAATAGATTGGGAGGCAGAGTTGTGGTTTGCACTGATTTTTTTATAATGGATTTATTATAAAATCTTTGCAGAAACGGACACTGTAAACCTTAACAAAGCTGGCCTATTTAGAGAATGCATGTACAGTGTCATGTATAAGCAGCCATTATTCCTTTTTAACACGTTGTCTTCTATTTCCTTTCTTTGCCGCAGCGTGGTGGACCGGAGTGACACGAAGCGACTCAATCACTGCAACCAAAGTCCTTATATGTTGGAGATCAGTATGTCTTTACTTCTGTTCCTCAGCACAAGAGAACCTATTGCCACATGAGACATGAAGTAGAATAAACTATTACATAAATCCTGTTAAAATGTACATATGTTTGATTTTTAGATGTTCAATCTTAATTGTATTTTAAGTTCATACTAAGGGACATCGTCACTGTATCACACACAGCGGAGCTATAACAATAGCTTCTAGGTTTTCTTTAATTACTGTGTAGGCACTGCAACTATTCTTGACAGAGTTCTTGTTTTTCTCAAACATTGGTTTTAACATTATACCAGCTCAACTCAATTATTTTTATTTTGTCATAATTCGTTTGAGCTACACCTGTAATACCACCATACCCAAACAAAGCATGAGGCTCTGGTACATAACTGTAGGGTTCCTTTGCTTTTCATGTCTTTCACTGCATAAACCGATCTGTTTTTGGAGCTAAGACTGAAGACATGCTGGATATCAAGTCGCAATAGTGAAATGGTGTTGAGTTCATGTGAACTTCTGGATTTAAATGATTAAAAGAATATTGTATTTTGGTTGTGGTGTTCTTATCATGATCGATGTAGATACACAGAGACAAAACAAGCAGAAGCTAAGGACTTCATTGTCCTCAACAGATGAAAGAAAAACCCATCATATTTAGGGATTCATTTTAGGTATTTATTGTCATTACCGTTGCTGGCATGCTCTATATGGTAAACATTAACAACATTGAAATTTCACAACAGTGCAGCGGCCACCATTAATGTGTCACCGGGTTTTTCTAACTATGAGATTCAGCAAGCGGTTTATTACTCGGATGAAGATTGGCACAAGTTGTACAGACATGACAGAAAGGCCAAAAGTGAACAGACACTTCACCTGTCTGACTGGCAGATTGTCATCTTAGTCTCTACCAGAGCTGAGAAAAGTTCACACAGATTTTAATTTCTCCTCTTGCCGTGAATGAATCGAGGAGAGGTCACAACACAACTTCATCCTAATAAAAAAAACAATGGAACAACCAACTCTTAAACACATGAATGCCGTTACAGAACAATTCATGGCTTTACAAAAATACCTCTTGATGTTTAAAACCCAATATCAAACACGACCTCTATGAACAAGAAAGTGCAGTATATTCAGATATTAATATAAACACTTAGAGCAACGAGGAACTGTCAAGTCACAAATGGGCACAACACTAGAAAAAACACTGAGGTATGCACTGGATTACTCAGATTAATCTGGGGGAGAATATTCTGTCATGGTCACAACATGAACAGCGCCTTGTTTATTGAGGAGCATTTGTAGGTTTTGATAATTGTGGATTAGAGCCTTATTTTTTTTGTTTATTTTTTTGCAAACGCCAGACTAAACATTGCACTTGAAATGTAGCGGAAGCAATCTGTGCTCCGTACTGGAGGCGGAAGGACTCGTCAATTGCTCTTCTCCTCCTGTTCCTCCGGTTCCTCCTGTTCCTCCAGTCCCTCAAAGGCCGGTAAGAAATCAGCGATGGTGTCCACCACGTAGTCGGGCACCAAGCTCTGGTTGGTGGTCAGCTCACTATTTCTGTACTCCTGGGCCTCCTCGATCTGAGACACACCAGTGAGAGTGAGCATCGTGTCGAAGCCGCAGTTGGACCCGAACAGCATGTCTGTCTCTAGGCGGTCCCCGATCATCAGGCACTGGGCGGGGTCCACCCCCCTGAACTGACTGGAGATGCACTCGAACATGAAGCGGCTGGGCTTGCCGATCACAGTGGCCTTGCGACCTGAGGCCACCTCCAGGGCTGCAATGAGGGACCCAGAACCTGCCGGGGGGGGTAAAGATAAGAGCAAGGTTAGACTGAAGTGAATCTCACCCCAACCACCAACTAAACCCTCTCCTTCGAGTGTGTCTGGGTGCAGTCGTGTGTCAGAAGGCCACAGCAACCCACACACATACAATATAAGAGAAATATTTTTTGTGCACTGTTGATTAGTAGTTTTAGTATCGTCACAGTGGTTTTCCATGTGCTAGCCTACTATCACCGATAGCTACCTTTTTAGATCTCTGTATGCAGTATTGCTATTTTTCAGAGAGCCACTGGTTTTAATTAAGTCCAGTTCAACATGAAGATCAACGTGCAGCTTCTAGAAACTCAAACTGGGTTACTGAATAGGGAAAATCTGCAACTCACACTTCCTGGGGCCCTGAAAGACTCAGGCTCACTTTGTGTCAGTTGATATTCGATCATTTGGTATTCTGTCTTTCAATATACACGACTATTACCTTATGTTTAAAAATATATATATTTATGGGAGCACCTTTGTCTTTTTTTGATAGTGACAGGTGGGAGGTGGCAGTAAATGAGGTTAGAGAGAGAATAGATGACGTGCAGCAGAGGCCCAAGGCTGGATTTGAACCATTTAAACCAGGGTCATGCAAATAAATGGTGCGCACTTAAAACCCTGCAAAATAGTTCTATCACCTTTAATATATCTCTTCATACTTCACTTACATTATGCATTTTAATTCCTGAGTAAAGATTAGACCAGGTGGCATTTCAGCAAAGTAGTGCTGGCCTTAATATACTCTAATGCAGCGTGATGTGTCATCTGCTGTGTGCACTGTACATGGTGGACCCCTTAAGGGTGATGGGGTACATAAACAACGCACAGAGAGTGAGAACAATGGCAGTCAATGGGGCCTATTCAATACTACTACTTGTAGTTTTTGACAAAACAAGTATGTAACGCAGCAGAAATGCAGCAAGAATTTGCAGGTTGACCTTAATTCTGAAGTTTTGTTGAAACTATTTTGTTTGTTTGACATAAAGACCTTCCCAAACCTTCATCTCACAGCAGATTCACACTGACACTCCTCTCCACAGATATACTAAACAAAATAAAGAAAACATATGATGGATACAAATATTATAGGACAGGATTTAAAGGACATTTAAATTGCTTTTACTAATTTATAACATAGATTTGCTACATTCACTTCAAACTGAGGCTCTAGCTAAGGGCCCTCTGCCCCCCTACAGTGATCTGTCCATGGTTGTCACCAATAAAAAAAAATATCCATAAACACTGGAGTGGCCCTGAGCTGAAATGATCAGTATTAAGCAGGACTAAACCTCCATTAACTGAATTAAACTGAGCCAAGCTTCAGTAAATCAGAATCATCACCACCATACCTGGCAGTATCCTTCCACTTGAAAGAGGGTGCCAGGGGTCGTTGTCGGTGGCCAGGAACACACAGTCCGGGTCCCTCAGGTAGCACGACGCTTTGGCCAGTTTGAGAAAAGTCAGTTGATCATCATGTCCCACCAGCACCGCCTTGACGTCCGGAGCCAGGGCGCAGTTGTAGATGGTGGCGTCCGGGTCGTCCGCCTCCTCCACGCAGGGGATGCCCGCCTCCTGCAGCTCTCTGCGCAGTCCGTCGCAGCCGATGACAAACACCTGGCCGCAGACCTTGACGACGTCTCTCAGGTAGAGAGCCGAGCAGTACGACGAGCTGAAGATCTGCTCCAGCATCACGTCGGTGAAGCCCAGCCGGCAGAACTTGTGCACATAATTCTCCCGGGGCCTGGTGCTGTTGTTGGTGACGAACACTACGTTTTTACCGTGTCGGATGAGCGAGCTCACCACCTTCGCTGCGCCCGTGATCGCCTTCTCTCCGTGCCATATGACCCCGTCGCAGTCGAAGAGGATGTAGTCCTTCGCCTCCAGCAGGCTTCTAATCTGCGGACCTCGGATTTTCTGGCAGCCTTTGAACCCAAAGGCGCCGGCCATCCCGGCTTTTTCCTCGGTTTCCTCCGTGTTTCACCTGCTAGTGGTCCCCCATGTCAAAGGCTGGTGCATAATGTGGCGAAGACGGAGGGTAAAATGATAAGAAAACAAATCAATGTCAGGAAATCACATTGCAGAGACCTTGGAGCGGTTACATACGCGGACAGCGGGCTACATAAACATTGACGTCTGGCCACGCCCGCGTTGTGAACGCCGACCAATCAAACTGCAGCACTTCAACCAATCAGGTTGGCGTGTGTCACAAGCGTTTCATGAGAGACTTCCTCTAATAATTACATTGCGCCCCCAATGGCAGCTGATGGACCCTTTTAAATGACATTTTATGACATAAAATGTACATATTTTATTATAAAATGTACATAACCTCTAAATGACAAAAAATAGTGGTGGTAGTACTCAGACCATTTAATTAAGTAAAAGTAGCAATATGTCTACCACACTAAAAAATACTCCATAACAAGTAAAAGTTTCAATTAAAAATATATATATATTCAAATTTAAAAAATATATATTCAAAATAAAAAAAGTATTATCTGAAAAATGTAAAAGTAATCATCATGCACAATGGTGCTTCTCTGTTATATTATTATATTACTGGATTTTTACTATTGAGGCAATAGAGCTTTTTCCCTGCAGCCATTTTGACATTAAATAGTAGGGTAAACACAGCGGTTGCCAATGGTACCAACCAAGGCATTAAGTGGAGTAAAAGAATAAAGTCGCAGAATATGTAAAGTAACTCCCTAAAGTCATTTTTATTATTATAGCACTCAGTATGCAGAATCAGAAATACTTTATTGATCCCTGGGGGAAATTTGTTCATTACAGTTGTTCTACTCACACAACATTAAAGAAATAGTATTTATTACAATATCTAACACAATATAGAAATTAATGTATAGGTATACGCATATAGTAAAAAGTAAAAATAAAAATGGAAAATAGAAATATAATAAGAGCCTAAGAGATATAATAAGATAATAGGAGCCTTTCTACAAAGTAAAAGTAAATCTAAACATATATGTAAACATATTCCACAGTATTGCTGACAGAAATAAATAAATAGTAATGAGTTTTAAGATTGTGGTGTTGCAGAAGTTATAGATAAGCAGTACATTTAACACTACAGACCGCCTACTTTAAATATTTTTGGGTATGTAATCTAAAGCAATGAATCATATATTTTCTACTTCATCATATACTCAGTTGCCTGTTTATTATGTACACCTAGCTAAAGCTAATGCAGTCTAATATAACATCTATCTTCATGAAGTATGTAATGTTTAGGTTTTTCAGTTTCTGAGAGGTGTCTTTAATATTGTGTCCACTCAATCTATATAAACAAGGATAGAGTTCAAATTAAAGCTACCTTTTTGGTATAATGCAGTGCAATTCCCCCATAAACTACATCCTCAAACACCATACAATTGAATCAACACCTCTCCAAAACAGTTTGAACAAAAACTAAACATTAAAACCTTTGTGACAGACGGATTTATTGCAGGGCTGCTGTATTAGACTTAACAACAGTATCAGAATACATTTACTTGGTTATTTAATTTCTAGTTCGGAGTAGCTATGGAATTTGGCTCAAATCCAGGAAGCCATGATTTTTAAGTCACACTCTAAACTTTTTCTCAAGTCACTAGATGGGGCTCTAACCCACAAACCACACATATTTTATCTACAGAATACAGTACATTCATGCAGTTGTACCCTCTTTACAGTCTCCCATTTGGCCTGTTACTATTTTTTTCAAATAATTTATTTTATTTTTGCACACACTGCTATATGTATTATGGGTTTTTTTTTCTGTGTTATGTTTTTAATCTCTGATTGTTGTGTTTTTGGTTGTATCTTGTGTACCTCATATATTGCTTTTAATCTTATTCTTTATTGCTGCTTTTTATGTGTGTGTCTGTGTGTGTCTGTGTGTGTGTGTGTGTGTGTGTGTGTGTGTGTGTGTATGTAAAGCACTTTGTAAACATTCACATCAGAGCAGAGTTTCAAAGACAAAACGCATACAACCTTTACATCACTCATCAACTTATTAGTGATCATGAATCAATTTATTTTTGTTGATTTCATCTTGCTTTTCACTGCTGGATACCTGTAGTAAAACAGTTTTGAATTGTCATAGTTTTACATAAAATGTATAGATGATTGCATATGTTGTCTCTTTTATTCTGTGGTATTCTGAACACTAGTTCTTTTAGCTTCTGTTTCTCTCTGCTTCGTTTTTGGGTTTTTTTCTCTGTTCTATGATTTCCCTATGTTCTAATTTTCATTGATGTATTCTTCTTCTGCTTCATTAAAGTTAGCCTTTGTTGCATTTTTCTTTTTTTTTCTCCCCTGGCCCTGTCCTGTCATGCTTCGGCTGCTTCGCCCTGCCTGGTTTGGATTGCGTGCGAGACAGAGGAAGACTCACTGGCACCTGCAACTGCCAGACAAACAGACAAGTGAAACGCAGGGAAGGAATGGACAGCTGAATGGACAGAGAACAAGCTGTCCTAATTGGTCATTATTTCCTTGCTAATCTATATTTTCCTCCCTGCTAACCCCCAACACAGATGTTAGGAGTCGGAGGGAGGACAGAACAGAGAGGGGGGGTCCTCCAAGGCCTGGTCTGATCTCAACAGTGGCTTGAGCACTGACTGTGAACATTGCTGTGCGCTTTTGTGTCTTGTTTCAAAAGGGGAAGGAGACTCAGTGAGAACCAGCAGAGGAGGTTGTGGAGGTCAGAGTTGGGACTTGCAGGTGGAGCTGGTGGTTAATAACAGAAGAGCCAGTAGACCATAATGCTGCTACAAACACACACATGCACACACACACTTTAAAGGTAGAGCACATTTTTTGAAAATTCAGGTCCATTCTGGGACTCTCAGCATAATTTGTCAACACGTGTACACAAACCAGACGAGCAAAGCAGCACACAAAAACATTCTTAGCATTCACTCATCTACAATAAACACAGTTTGCTGCCATTTGGCAACAACACAAAAGCACACAAGCTGTGCTTAGTTAGGGCGCATGTGAGTGTTTTGCGTGCATACCGTCAACCACCCCTGCTCGCAGCGCAGCCAGGTCAAAGCAGCACAGAGGTGTTGGACATTGTGGCGCTGTGGCACAAATGAGATGTCTGGTAGACATGATGGCGCTGGAAGGGGAGAGGGCAAGATGCTTGACATAAGGGCTATTCCACTGAAGGAAAACTGGAAATACAGAAATGTTGAGCCAACATGTTATCAGCATCATAAACTGTTTTAAATGCATTGTCTTAAAACTGATATTGAAACCACTTAATTTTTCTTTCAAGTTAAATTTAACTTTCATAATTTTAATGCTTTGCAGTATTTTGCAGCTTTTCTTTTGATTATTAAGGGGAAAAAAGAGTTTAAGTTCATTGCTTGTGTCAAAGCAAAGGTCTCCTACTTCAACATGCCAGCCTGCTATCACTCTTTGTTTTATGTATTTAAATGTGAATTTTATCAATCAGTTACAACAAGCATGGTTTATTCATTGAACACCGGCAGTAGTGTAGGTCAGCAGGAATTCATATTGGTACAGTAGACAATAAGTCCAAGATAAACAATTAACACAGCCCTGAGGTATAAGTCTGAAGTGTCCCAGAGGAAACGCTTAGTGCTGCTATTGTATTTTTTTGTGTTTATCCATGCTGTTCTTGTTCCGACAGAAAGTCCAGCAGAGAACGACCGGTGCAAGAAGCCCCAGGGAGAGAAGAAGCACCAAGTCCAAAAGGTATCTCTGGTACCATGGTTGCGCCAGTGAAGCCGGCCTTAAATGAGTTCCACCTCCACTGTGCAGGATGTGCTCCACCCACTGGGTGAATCGAAGGGCTGGAGGGACAGGATTGGATTTGTGGATCCTGCTAAGGGATAAAGCTGAAGACTTGAACCTAGAAAAGAAGAAATGATAAAATAAGAAAGTGAAAGAGGGGGTAGGTTACAGACATATATGTACCCTACTGGCATCACAAATGTTTCCTAGCCACACTACCCACATACCTGATGTCCTGTATGAGTGTTTGAACAGTGGAGCTGAGCAGTTCCCTGGTGATGTGTGTGGGTTTGATGCTGAGGCCAAGTCCCTTTGTTTCGGCCCTCACCACGTTATCAAACTGGTCTCCAAACAGAGGGATTGCCAGCACAGGGACAGCATGGTACACTGCCTGCAGCAGGCTGTTTTGTCCACCGTGGGTGATGAAGAGACGTGCTTTTTTGTGGCCTTGGGTAAACAAAAAATAGAAGAGACTTCATGAGTGTTTGGTCGCCGTACAGGCTGATAAAACAAACAGTTGAGAGCAGTCTGTCCCATATGTTTGGATTTGAAGGTTTAAAAACATTTAAAAACAGGACTTCAGTTTTGCGGTATTTCTTTTAATATTACGAGGTTAAAAGGAATAAATAGAGCTGCAGTGCAGCAGTGATCCAGTCTCCTTCTGCTGCAGTCTTGGTCCAGTGCCTGACCAAAATCCACCCTGAAATTCATTGCTTTGGTCTTTCAGATAGTCCACAATGCCACAATGAACAAGCCTTCTGGCAGTCTACCATATACTGTAAGCCGCCTTTATGTTTGTAACAAAGGATTATGGTAAGAGAGGCAGACTGTTCCTACCCAGCAGGTCATTTAGAGGTAGCCAGTCCACAAGCCTGAGATTGGGAGGTCTGTCCAGGTGAGACGGCCATCGATTGGGGTCATACCTGAAGGGCCAAACACAGTTGAAAAACTTCTCGTAATATTCTGAGATTAACCGAAAACACCAAGTTTGTTTGTTTTTGGGGTTGATTTCATCTTTTAATGACTGTGGAAAAAATCATTGTGCATTTTTTTTTTTTCATTCCTTCTTGAATTGTGTGTGAACTGATCCTTTTACCTCCACAGCACCCCCTGAGAGATCCTGGAGAAACCAGCCACCAGCTCCATTAACAGAAGGTCCACAGAGACCGAAGATACCATTGATCCCAGAGTCACGACAATGAAACCTGCTTCTCCAAAACTGGTGATCCACAACTCAAGATCCTGTGGGATCAAAAAGGTTGGAGTATGAGCAATAGAGGAAATATGCAGTGTTGAATGGCAGGATGAGAGAGAGATGGATGTGCATGGGGAGGAGTAAAAGTCTAGAGGGAAGTAGGAATGAGAAAGGTAAAGAGAGTGAAAGTTAATTTGAAAACCTGAAAGTCTCACTGATGTATTTGGATATGTGTATCAATAGAAGACACCTGCTCTGGAGGGTTCGCAGGTTTATTCAGCAGACCTCCCACCAGCACAGTGTAGGGCATAAGAGGCTGAGGGAACTCCAGTGAAAAGTCAGTGTTGAAGGCCCAGAGTTCAGCTCCTTGATGTAACTCCTCCAGACCACCAGGGGGTGAGCCTGACTCAAGGTGGCGCTCTGCTACTTCCTTAAATGTAGACCATACAAGTTCCTGGGCTTTGAAAAAAGACACAAGACACAAAAATCAACATTGTATGCCTAATATTTGTTAAAAGCCATTCAGATGTAATTCTTATAACTCAGTGCTTGTTAATGGGTATTAGCTAAACCATCACCAAAATCCACTGGCAAGTTGCAATTAACACTCACTGAAGAACAAATGTGTATGAACAATCAATGGAATATTAGCCCAAAACATATCGAGGAAATTGAGACGATTGCAAAGGAAATAATTGGTTTACTAAGATACATTGGTGTGCTCATTGTAGTGTAAAATGTGAGATAAGTAATTTCAAAGTTCTAATATAGTCAGTATAAAACAAATGAGAAGAGAATGAGATATGATGACAAAGTGTAAAAACTGAGTTTATTCATGATATCCAAAAATGTGGTTTTAAATACTAAAGAATTGAATATGTCTATGGGTATTGATGAGTACAGTGTACATTGAATATGTGTCATTAAGGAAGCCACATAAATACTCTTGACAATGTGTGATCTCCTGTGTAACACCACTCTTACCAACAGGAGCCAGGAAAAAGTAAAAGAGGTTCTTTGCACGACCCCAAAGGTTCATGTGGTCTGACAGCTGGGAGCTGAATACTGGGATGTAGGACACTGGGCTGGGAAGAGCGATGGACAGAGGACCGTTCAGAGTGCCGGGATAGAAAGCTATATAGTGGACATCTGGAGTAAAATCAAGAGAAAAGTGCATTAAAGTTGCTGTTGATTTATTCATAGCTTTTGATATATTTAGAATAAAAAGCATGAGCACATTTAAATACATCTGAAATGTGCAAATAATGCAAAAGATGTAATGACATAAACCAAAGTGATGTGGCTTTAACAGCAGATGTACCAAGTTTGCGTGCCAGGATGAAGGAACAGGGGTTAAAAGCGTCAAGGATGGCGATGTCGTAGCGCTCCCTCTGAAGGAAAGTTATTAACTCTTTGTCGCCCAACAGCTTGTCACACTGATAGGACAGGTGATCCATGAATTTTAGAAACATGTTAAAGTTATCCCTGAGTGAAAGAGAGAGGGAGGAAGAGTGAGAGAGTTAGTAAGATAAAGACAGAGAGGCAAGCAGAGTGAGAAAGAGCCAATTTGATACAATAAATCTGATGATTGAAATATATATAATTATATATATAAATATTTTCATCTATTTATAATAATCCAAGAACGTTCAGAAGTCTAAAACAGAAACAAACTGAGCGTCAGTATAAGATAAATTAAAGGGCCAAAATAGATTAAGTAGCTTACAAGGGCTTGTCTATTTTTCCAGTGTAACCAAGTCTCCTAAAATCTGTGCGATACCTTCCCAGTAGAAACTGTGTTTGTTGCTCCAGGAACCAGCCATTGTATTCCTGGATGTATTTCTCTCCTAAAGACCAGGTGCTCATCTGGTAACTGTCTGCACGGCCTGCATAGGAAAAACCTAAAATGTGCAATCATTTTACATGAACATTAGAGTGACTGAAACAGAGAAAGGATGAGAGGAAGCAAAATATTATATATATTTTTTTTTTCTGTACGTGTATGTTACTGTGTGTACTGTATGCACAGTTTACCTGTAATAACAGGGTTACCAAGTTGCAGGAGCATGCGGACCTCATGGCCATGCTGGTGTAAGTTATGAGAAATTTCATCTAATAAGAGGTAGTGGCTTCCTCCTGGAGAAGACGAGAGGGAAAAATGACTCTGCTATCATTATGTTCTCTGAACATGACTCAAAGTTTTAAACTTACTACATAAATTTTCAGATAATACACATACATTCTCTCACAAACTCTACAAACAACCTGTATCTATTTCTTGACTCAACAGTCTAGCAAGGAGGTGCGTATTTGTCCCATACCTCTGAACAAATATTTACAATGAATATCTCTATTACAACTAGTAAAGGACACTTTAACAATCACTACTCACCAATTAGACAGACAGTCAGGATCTTGGCAGACTGAAGCACTGGAAGAGCCAAAAGAGAAAAAGTCCAAAATACGATCCCCATGTTGTTATTAGAGTACAACACAACGAACTGCAGCCAAAGTCCTCCTAAAATAGTCTCCCAATTCAAAAATAAGCTGTAATGAAAACCTTCCTGTGTGAACAATTCCTTGTGAGAATTTTTGTAATACAGCATCAAAGTTAGATCCTGTGAGCGACAGATGGTTCATGAAAACAAAGTTGTGATCCAGATAAATGAAGAATTTTCCACATGAAATCAGTAGGTCAAAACGCAGGATTACGAACACAAAACTGAAAATATCTTTTCAGTGCACCAAGTCCGGTCCTGAAAGTCTTCTTTTCGATCTCATGTCCGCCCGAGCCAGGAGTTAAGTTTCTTCTTTACAGTTTTCAGTGTCAAGCTGGTAAGGGATGAATCCCAAATCCTTATTTAGTGCACCTAGAATGAATCCAGTATGCTTTGTCTTGCAACAAATAGAAAAGGTCCAACATTAAGGCGCTGATTTATTCCGTATTATTAAGGAGGTTTTGGATGCAAGTCTGCGAGTATGATTCTGTCTATATGACACATGTGTGGCTGTTTTCTCTAAAAGTCAGACACTGAGAAGTCCAAGAGCCCTGGACCTGCAGTGATAATGAAAGGGAGGGAAAGAGAGAAAGGGCGGTGGGTCAGGGGGGTGGGGGGGTTCCCAAAGCCCTCATATCAAATTAGACAAATGTTAACAGGAGTTACTTTCTCTCAAGCCTACTGACTAAATGTAACTCCTTCAATCAATACGTACAGGAAAGCACTGTTTATGATTTGATAATGATGACACATGTACCTACTTTTGATTAATAATGCATTAATAAATTGCTTTGTTTTTAGTAACAAGAAAAGCTTAGCAGTGACAGCTAAATAGGGTAGCTGCAATAACTGCTGAATGGACTGTGATAGGGTTGTGGGTGCCCTGGCAGGCCGTTGCTGGCAAGTCAGGCTTGACATGTAGGTTATCCTGGACAATGTGCTCATTGTAGCCACAACCAATGCTTTTCTGTGTCAGGGAGGTCATTAGAAAAACAAGTCAGTTAGAAAAACTGCTGGAGTGTATCAGGAAGAAAAAGCGAGTAAGAGGGGTAAATCCTGCCATCATTGATGTTATTGTCAGTTATGATGTCATTCCAACCTTCTTCAGTTACATTTCTACACACTGAAACAAATGATGGTTGCACATCTATTTATTCAATACTGAAGTAAGCAATACATTTCAGCAAACATTTCAAACATTAATGTAATAAGAATACTTCAAAATATCCAAAGCAACATCTTTTGTATTTCCTAAATGAAAGAGGTATTTGTGGTGTAGACAGTAGTATATGTACTGTATATGTCTTATCCTTTAGGAAACTGTCAAGCTGCTGGCCTCTCCTTTCTCCAGATGGGCCAGTAGCACTCTATGAATGTCCTGAGACACACAGAGACAAAGAGAGAGAGATACAGTGAGAAATATGAGAAATAAATCAAGGTTAACAACAAGAAAGGAAAGATACAAATGGGGGGAGGGAGAGAGAGAGATTAAAGATGACGGGGAATCTTTATGTGTTTTTTTAGCTCAAAAAAAAAAAAAGCATTGAGAATATTAATGTGCATGATGGTGGACAGCAGAGGAGTTGCTATTTGGATTCTCAGCTGACAGAGAGTGTAGCTGACTCAGACTTACAACAAGCTGGTAGTGTGTTGAGGTCTCCATCAGGCCCTGGATGAAAGAATGCTGAGAGAGAACGGAGAAGGGGACACCGTCCTCAGGCTTATAGCCCAGCTCTCTGAATATATGCACCAGGTGCTAGAGGCCAGCAGAGATAAAAAGTATTAGCATGTAACCTTTAAAATGAACTATGGTATTCTGCAAGTGCTGCATTTTTTTTACATCTTTTTTTACACCATTTCTTTCCTTAAATAAATCAACCAATCATTTATGTATTTCCTTAAAAGCCCAGTTAAAACTATCACAGGGCTATACCTCAGTGTGCTCCTCCCGACTCAGGCAGCCTGGAGGAAGGGGGCTGTCATCTTTCACATTGGTGACTTTGTGGCAGATGACAGGAAGAAGAGCAGCGATCGACACGTCCTGCTCCCCCAACGAACAGCTTGATGCACCTGGAGTCCCTTCTTCCTTGTATTCTCCATCAAGTTCTGTGGGGCTGAGCTCTGTAGCCTCCTCTATACTGGGCATAGACTGTATACACAACACATTGTCCTGTTGATGTGCAATAGTTTGTATCGAAGAGAAACAATATCACTCACGTTTCATTCCAAAACAAATTACCAACCACCAGACATTGTCATTATTGAAAATAACATCACTGATTTCTATTATTATTTCTATTATAATTCTGGACCATCTTAAAACATTGGTGACTGAAAATAATACATATTTTTTCTTACTCTAGAAGCTTGAGAAGATAAATTGCTTTTGCAGTGAACTGTAAATGGGAATTTCATTCACTTTTCTTTGTACATTAATACACTCACCTTGACAAGGTGGCCCAGCGAGGAGAGCTTGAGATGTTGTCCCAGCACCACACTAAGTGCTCTGATGAAGCCCTGTCTAGGGTCAGGGTCGGCTGCAAAGTACTGTAGCATGTACACATAGTCCAGCCGAGGGGGAGAGAAAGAGTGGTCCGCAAACAACTGGAAAAAAAACTAAGAAGGAAGAACAGATGCAAATGTTGATTTATTTCATTTATTACTTGCAGTGCAGTTAATTTCAAGACTTTGAGCTTTCAAACGAAAACAAATGGCATTGTGATGACTGTATCCTCTTAAATGTATTCTCTTACAATTATCTTTCAATAAGATAACATTGAAAATACCTCAAAAGTTGGGTAAGACTACCTTTTTGTTCTTTCATTACTCTTTTATCTTTGTTAATTCTTCTTATGTATTTTATGTTGTTTGTGTACCATGAAATATCCCATTTCATCAATACTAAAAGTTTACTTTGTCTTGGAATTAAGTTGTCCGGCATTGCAGCTAGTTTACCTTGCGTAGGTTAGATAGGCGATTGTAAGGTAGAGGCTCAGAGGGGTCCTCAGGGACAGGCTGGACACTCTCATGGGAAAACCACAACTCCGTCTGGTGAGAAAGGAGGAAAGAGGAGCAACTTAAACTTTTCTTTTACATTCAGGGAGCTGCAGTTTTCCCTTTTAACTGTATAAAGTATACACTATACACTAAATGTGTGTTGTTCCGTAGACTTAAACCCAGGCCTGCTTGAATAAAAGTACATAGTAATGCCACAAGAGCAAAGAGGAGCCTTGGGTTGGAGTGAGTGGATAGATAACATTTAGATAGAAGGATGTTTGAGTTTGTGTGTGCGAAGAAACTAACTTGTAGGTACTGTTCCTCGTTTATATAGCCTGTGTCCCCATTATCTGCTGCTTTGAAATGTTGTAACACAACCAGCAGCTGTGTTAAGGAGGGAAATGGCCAAGGGAGGGCAGCACTGAGCAGAAACTGACGCCAGTCTATCAGCTCATATTCGTCCGTTAGCAGAGATACAATCTCCATCAACTGGGGATAAGAAAGAAAAGGACAATTATCCTATAAGCAATGTAATATCTATGTAATGTATTTTATTTGGTTGTTTAGAATATGCAAGTAACTGGACATTATGGTGCAGGAATGTTTTTTGTCTTGCTTTGCTTTCTCTGGCATTTTGCTATAGTCAGCAGAATGCTATTTGATTATGTAGTAATTTGGTTTCAAAACTTTTTGTCAGTTGACTCAAACTGTTCATTAATTGTAGCCTTCTTGTAATATGTGGTCTTACGGACTAAAGAGAAAAGAAATGATGATCCAACTTTGTGTTTTTAGTCTCAGGAATACTTCAAAGCGTACCTGTGTTTCATTCTTGTCAAGCCAGGGCTCAGGCAAGGTGTTCTTGCCCAAATTAACAGAGGTGATATCCCTGAGCAAACTGGAGAACCCTGAACTGGACATGAGGCCTGAAAGTCAGATAGGAAGAAGAATGATCAATGGATGGATGGATAGCTGGATAGCAGCATTAATAGACCCAATCACATCACAACTTCTCCCCTATGTGCACCTGACGCAGCAACAGTGCATAGCTGTTGGTGGAGTGACTCTAGCTGAGTGATGGTCGGGGTGGACTGTGTGGGTTTCTCCAGAGCAGGTGGACGGGGAGGGGGAGGCAGGCTAGCCACCATGTGGCAGTCCCCATTCAGGTAGAAGTCAGTATATTCCTGGAGAAGAGAATTTGGAGAAACTTAAAATGGGAAGAGTGAGGTAAAAAAGAGTGTTCCAGACTGGAAGGACAAATCAGATATCATCTTACAGTTACCCTGCAACTAAAGGAAAGATGAGAGAGCTGCCTTGTAACCAGTGAGCACCTTTCCAGGGTAGATATTAATCACTATTATTACACTTATAAAGTCATTACATACCAACACAAGCTGATTCTGCAACTTAGCACCAGCCTCTATGTGGTGGCGAACCACTTCTGATAGTTGTTCAATACTAGAGAAAAGGAGACAGACACAGATGAAACATCAGCCATCTTCTATGTATAATTAATGAGAAAAACTATTTTTTTTCATTTAGATATATCTTTCATTTACTGTGACCAACAATTCAAAGCTGTCTCTATATGCACGTGTGACACACACCATATCGCACCATACATAACCCACACTCATACTGTACCATACCTCTTCATTTCTGCAACATAGTGTGCTTCTAACCACTTCTTCATGCTGCTTGAGGTCTGTTCAGCTCTGCTTTGCACGGACTGCAACCTCAACAGACCCTGTCCTTTCACCAGCGCTATGCGCACCTTTGCTGCATTTTCTGGAAAACACACACAATGAATGCATGTGTACATATTACAAAACATGCATGAATACACATAACAGCAGACTCGTCTGTATGTATATATCCTCCATATAACACAGTTTGAATTAATAATATGTTCTTCTCTGAGCGCATGTGTGTGTGTGTGTGTGTGTGTGTGTGTGTGTGTGTGTGTGTGTGTGTGTGTGTGTGTGTGTGTGTGTGTGTGTGTGCATACCCTCATGATCCAGTGCAGCTGCATATTCTTTGTGTATTTTGTTTTTTACTTCTTGATCATGAGTCTTCTCTGAGTCTTTGTCATCAGCAGCAGGACTGGGTGCTGGAGGTGGGGATGGTGGACCTGGAGGAACAAGAGTAAAATAAGGATGTAGAAGATCTACTTAAACATACAGTACATGCATACAGGGCACGTCTCCATAATTGTCTTCATACTCTACAAAGACATGCCTTTTGTTTTTTTTGCTGACTGCTTCCCTTTTTCCTTTTTGTTTGCACTTGCAGCGGCCTTCGCCCTCTCCTTATCTTGTACTCTTTCCTTGTGCTCTTTTGTCTCCCCCTTGTGGGCTTCTGCTAACACCTAAACACACATATAACCAGGGTGAAAAAAAAGTATATATACCTCCATAATATGCTCACACAAACTCACACACACACAAACACACACACACACACACACACACACACACACACACACAGCATTACCAATTTGCGGATAGCTGTGAGTGCCTCCTCGTAGTCGAAGATCAGTTTCTCATCGGGTGTCTAGAGTTAAGGATGAAAAGGGTCAATATCTCTTACTATAAGATTGTATATCAGCATATCACTATCAAGTACAAACTATATTTAAATTCATTAAAAACTAAAAACAACAACAACTAAAATAAACAAGGATAGCAGGGTAAATAATATCTATGGCAGTAGTTTATGTGTAGATAGCAGAAGAATCTAATAGAACAAAATCCATCATTGATAAATACTAAAAAAATCAAAGCTACACAGAGAGGCAGGAAATCTGATTTGACAAGACCTTGACAGTTTCTGTCTGCCCCTGGCCTTTCATCTTGGAGGCCCCTACTGAGGAGTCAGGGTGTCTGGGGAGGAGGGGAATACGGGAAAAGAGGAGGAAACTGTTTATGAGTGTATGTGTTTGTGCTGTTGAGTATTTGGTCTGTGAGGAAATGACAACATCTTTCAAACAGACCGGAGAAAAACATGATAGTGCTTCTCCCTTACAATTTAGTTTTCCTCTTGTCTTCTCCGTCATCCACACCAGCGCCCGCTAGATCAGTACTGGTGGAACAAAATAAATCTTTCACTTTCACTTTCTTTTCTTTCATTTTCCTAAAACTATTTCATTTTATTATCTTGTATTAACATGGTTAGGTTGAAATAAATAGATTGTTTCTTGCCTGTCGTCCTGATCCTTAATCTCTGGGGAGTCCAGCAGGGGAATACAAACAAAGTTGGCGGGTAACTCAGGCAGCACAACACTGTACATGCTCAAATAGTAGACCCTAAGAATACAGAGAGTGGCATGGAAACGGTCCAACTCCACCTATGCAACACAAACAAGATTATGGTAAATCACACATAGAAACCCACATAATAAAGATAAACAAAATAAAAATAAAAATTTGTTGTTACATAGAAGCAGAAAAGTTACCTGCATGAGTACAGAGTGGTAGTTGACGAGGACAGCAGTGTGGTCCTCCAACCAGCCTTCACCCATGAGAGCATCTCTCTCTTGCTCATCCTCCTCCTTACGTTTGTCACTCATGTCCCACAAACGTTCACACAGTTCCTGTAAACATATCAGAATAATGCCATATAGTCTATATTTTCATTGTAAGCAGGTATTTATACTTTTTTCATGATCATTCAAGAATATTTGTTTGGATAATATATCAAGTTCCTCTCACATCCAGTCTCTGATGTAGCTCTGCTTTGGTTTCCCCGTCTTCTCTCATATCATCGGGTATGTTGTTGATATCCTTCTGCCACTGAGTCACTAACTCTTGCTTCAAATCTGGACGCCCCAGGTAATGTTTGTACTCCTCTCTACAGACACAAGGAACCAGGTAAAACTTACATTGTAATACATGTAGATTTCTTTAAATAATTTTCTATTAACATACATTATCTCTTTCATTTGCAAAATATTTCTAACAAAGAACCTCATGATATGTACATGTAATTGTATCCAGGAATAAGGATAACTATGACAACCTATTACTGATACTGTAATCAGAAGCTAATTAGAAATAATAGTTACATTTTCAATTCAAGTGATTGTGGCTAACAAGATACCCACACAGTTAGATTGATAAAAAAAATATATGTGCATGTTATCAGACATACAGATGTAAGAATTTATATAGAAATCAAATTAAAAATTAAGGAAAGACAGGCTTCCATTATGCGGTTACTGAGTTACGTATCTATTCTTAATGTATTACATGAAATAAACCATGGTCACATTACTTCCAAGACCTGGCAGAATACCTGATGTTGTATAGGTGATGGTTAATAACGGTGCGTTGTGAGCGCAGCTGCTGCATCACGGTCTTTACGTTGTTCACATAAGAATCACACACTGTGTCCCAATGGGGGCACAGGTACTCTGGGATCTCCTAAAGATAGAGATGTGGAGGGGAAGAGATGAACAAAGCAGAGCCATGGGAGGAGGAGAATAGGGAATGATGAAACAAAACAAGACATTATGTAATGCATGGTGTGCTTGCAACAACAATAAGCAAAACAAACATAAATAGAAATTGTGACCTACTGGAGGAATGGGTTCATTGACATAGACCCAGCTGGAAGAACCTGGGCGGGAAGAGGCAGAATCAGGCGGGTTGGAGACTGCCTGAGAGTCCTCATTTGTCATTGAGGAAGTTGATGCCTTCCTAGAGTGCCCTATTGATTAGCCAGAAGAAAATTATATAAATCATCACAATAAAGAAGTAAAATAAAATCCTATTTATTCTCTGTGGACCATCAACATGCCATGTTGATATCATGTATAAAATCCTCTCTTTCAAGCAGAATATTTTTGTGACCAGAAGTGACTTTCTAATTACAATTAAAACACTTAATCCATAGACTACTGATTAAGTCACCTCTGGGGGTGTGTGTGTTGGACTTGGAAAGTGACTTGACACTTGGGCCTTTTTCCTCATTAAAGCTGGAACAGGATTCTGTGAGGCCAGTGGCTTCATCTGTGAGGGCTGTAGGTTGGTCTACAGGTGGAAGTGTGGCTGAGGAAGAGGAGTCTTGAGCTTTTCCACTGTCCAATACTACATCTTCAACAATAGCTGATAAGGGAATATATCAGAATATTGTGAGTGAATATTGTTTCTTTTAAGGAAAACATATGGTCTATCATACAAATACTGTAGAAACAAACAAAACATTATACCTGATCTTATGAAGCAAAAAATTCATTTGAGTGTAATAACATTCATGTAATACTACAATGAAAGTCAGTTACCTTCCGGTGTTTGCATCCTAACTTCCTGCATGACAGACTCCACTCTTGTGTAAAGCTCCTCCTCGTCTACATCTGCATCAATACGGACCAAAATGTTTTGCTTTCCACCAAACCAATTCTCTAGTTTCGGCCAGGTGTCCTGAAAAGTTGTGATCCTTCAGTGGGGGAGAAGGATGTCACATATTAGACACACAGTCATGCAGTAGCAGTAATATGTACATGTCAGTGGAGCTTCCCATTTCATTCTTCTTTTTTACCTGTGTTGAATCTGTGCCAGATACAAGGTCTTGTCTGTAGGATCTGAGGCAGTAGCAGCAGCAGTATCTGTATATGCACCAGGTTTGGGAGCATGAGACATTTAGCTGGTTACTTGTACACGTATATATACACGCACCTTCTAACTGATATTTTTTGGTGCACACAATTACATTAAATTCCCACCAGAATAACGTACCCGTCTGACTGAATGCATGTCTGACCACACACTCATCTGGGATATCCAGCAGCAGAGCAAGGTCCAGTACAGGAGCTAATGGTGGTGGAGTTTTGGGTGGATTAGGATCAGCAACAAGGTTTGTACTGCTGCTTTCAATGCCATTCCCTTCATCTACAGAACCACCCAGGGCTTTCTCTAGCAGGTAAGCCTGGGTGATGTCCACAGGAAAGCCATCCAGGATCCAACCTGACTGAGCTGGAATCTGCCTAGTAAAGACACAACACATATTTCACTGTCTAGAGAGTGCTTGTGGGGTTTATTTTGTTCACACTGTATACATTACATACATACAAGTATAATTTTAAATATACTTGTATAATACAATTGACTAAATGCTATATACAGTATACAGTATTTTATTGCTATACAGGTTACGTGCTTACCTGATAGCTTCTACTATCATGTCCACTAACAGCTCATTAGGGATGGCGTTGCCTTTCCTCAGCTCTTTTTCTGCAGCTGCTCCCTGTTTGGCCTGGGTTGACAGCTGGATAAGGGACACATGTTATTTCCTTTGAATATTGCATCAGACATGAGTTTTTCTGAAACTTGTGATACAATTCTCTGTTTGTTTTATTTGTTTTGATTCTTTTAAATTCAGTAATTCATACTTAAAAGGCTTCTTTTTTGACAAATTCAGTGTTTTCTTCTCCCTGATCCTTCGCCACTGTTCTATTAGCTCTTTGGTTGTTTTAACTGCGTTAAACGAGGCTGTTTGGCAGAGAAGGCTCTCGCTTATGTTCAGGTCTTCAAAGTTTATATGTTAAATAATAATCTAAACTTTACAAATAACAATTTCATTTAGTTTTCCTCACTGAAATGAGCCAAAGCCTGTGAAGCTTTGGCGACCCCTAATGGTGGTCCTGAACCGAGGAACCACTAAAATCAGAATATCATACATGTAACACACAAACAACACTTACTCTTACATTACTGTCTCCACTTTCCTCTAGAGTGTCAAGATCTGAAAGCAACAAAAATACAAGTGACATCAGACAAGCTGCTCTTGAACATGCAGTGCATTTTTATTCCAAGCAAATAAACACACCGTGATGTACAGTAAAAATAGCATAGAAAAGAATCATGCTGCGTTCAGTAACTGACCAGGTTTCAGTGATGTAGAGGATGTGAGCAGTTGCTCATTGTCTTTCTCTTCCTGCTCTGTGGCCTGTACATTTTGTCCAAAAAAAAAAGTTGTTTTAAAAGGTGAAATACCTAAGATCATGAGGACCTTTTAAGCCCATGTGTTTATACATTTTGGCACCAGCAGGTGGGACTAGTGAGATTTTATGGTCCTGAAAAATCCTTTTAAATCAAAAGTTACAATACTGGCATACTGTATCTGACTAACCTCCTCTCCATTCTGGTAAGCATTCAGCGCCTCCTCAATCAGTGTGTCAGCTGATAAGACATAGATTCCATGGGCTAAAGCAGAAAACAACACATACTCAGCAACAAATAAGCAATACAATCTTATTCAACTACTGTTTTTAATATATAATTTCAGTAAACACATAATTTAGTGTTTATAACATTGTCTGTGTGTATGCTTGCATCTGTGTTCCTATTGCAACTTATGTACCTTCAGCAATCCTGGCCAGGCAGGTGGTTTTGCCAGAGCAAAACTTGCCCAGGACACAGGCCTTGAGGGTAAATAGAGGAAATGAAGGCGAGGAGGGTTCCATGATAGGCTGATGAACAATGTTCCTCAGCCGCAGGACAACGTGTCCAAGAATGTTGTTGTTGGTCAGGGGTAATTTGGTCTCCCCGGCTTCCTCTGGCCATGCCCACTCACCTACCATGTTCTGACAAACATAACACACAGCTTAGACAAAGAAGATCTTCAGCATTCAGACAGCTCAGGGCTTCAGTTCAGGGACAATTCAAACTTTATCACTGTCAAAAACGTAGCTTGGTCTAGCAATGTTTGATACTATGACTGAAATCAGCATTCGTTTGAAAATGTGGGTTTGACAAACAAGTTATTTAGCCTAAAAAGACGGGCTACATGCAAGCATGCAAGTGCGCTTGCAAACACACATCTACATACATGATTTATAAACACACTGCACTCCTGTTTTAAACTCACAGTGTATTCATTATAGTCCTGGTTGTTGAGTATCTCCTGCTTCTTAAGCTCTACAGGGTCTAGTGGGGTAGAGAACTCAAACCCTGGCTGCTGGCCCGTTATTGGCTCATAGAGAGGCAGACCACGGAACAGCAATTCCTTCCACTCTCTCATCAGCTTCTCTGGAATCAAACTGGACATGACAGCAGAAAAATGACAGGAGGTCAGCTAGACTTAACACGTGGAATTGTGGCTAAAATGGAATCTGGACCACACATTCGAAAATGGTTTGACCTGTTTAAACTACTCAATTTACTGCATAGAAGGTGAATTGAGTAGTTTAAACAGGTCAAACCATTACAATAACTGTACTGTTCAATTATATTAAAATATATGTTTTGGATTGAGCCTGAAAATGATTAAACTTAATTAATCTACCAATGAGTAGAAGAACTGATGTAGTGGATATGTAAAACCTAGGGTGTTAGAACACACACAGTTGTGTGGGTAGTGCATGTCTGTGGAAACAATGTATTTTATGATCAGAAGAACCAGACAGGATGTTGACAACACCTGATTTTATTTGACCACTGGTCAGTTGTACAATATTGGTAATTTGATCACAGCTTTTTGTTTCGCATCTGAATTAGCACCACACCGCATTGCTTCAGTTCTTATACATTACATGAAAGATTTCTGTTCTCAGTCAGATATTAGATTGTTAATGCTTTCCTAAAATACCTTTTAATGATTTCCTGTAGCAAGAAAAAATAAATAAATAAATAAAATACTTAAAGGGCATATTTGCTCCTGTTACTTATAACTTATACACTCGTCTCTGAGTCTATTTCTTCTAAAAGAAAAAAGCTGCCTATATTTATTCTGAAAATTAAAAAAACTTTGATATTATGATTTGTGCTTGAATGTGAACTTTATTCAAGCATAAATAAATAAAATTTGTAGACATAGCAGAGGTCCTATCACTCCCTTAATCCCACATTACATTCAACTCTTTCAAAATTAGATTGCTTAACTACCTTTTATAATAATTTCTGATAATTATACTTGGTAACTACCAAAAGATGCAATTTGAATTGTTCTATTTATTAATCGTTTGAGGTTTTAAGCCCAAATACCGTATGCATGTTTCTACTGCATCATTAAAAGCAACTGTGTTACGTACTTCGCAGTGAGCAGTCGATATTCTCCAATCTTGGTGCCCAAGTCCACAATTTGCTCCAAAATGTCCTTGCAGCTCGCAAAGTGCTTCTTGTATCTGCTCTGTGCTCGTTCAGCCGCAATCCTGTTATAGAGTTCAAGCTCCATTCTGATCTCTTCAGCACGTTCCAACTTAGCCTGCAGAGCCAAAGCCTATACCAGGCCCCGGTTAGAAAGATGGGATGAGTGGAGAAAGCATGAAATATTGTACATGGCTCTGCCAATCACCACTGTTAGGTAAAGTAATTAATGAAGATGAAAGATGTTACATTTCTCATTTATTGTGCAAAACATTTAACTACTGTAGGTATTTGTGTGGAAAATATAAACAGAAACTAACACATTGATTTTTGTAATCAGTAGATTACTGATATTGAAGGTTGTTATTTTAATCATTGGTACCTATTGGATGTAACAATGGCTTCAGCTTCCCAGTTTACGAACAAACACAGCATCAATAATACCCAGTTAAAGCCTTCAAACATTTGTATATTTAATTATGGGATTTTCTCCCTAAATCATCTCCTTAAATAGATTCTTTCACTTTTTAGAGCAAATGGCAAATCACAGGAGAATCTGAGACTTAGTCACATGTCAATCTTCTCTGGAATTTCCTGACATTTAGGTTAATAACAATGCCACTGCAGGATGACCACGCTATACAACAACATACTGTATATTTAACACTGAAACCATGCTAGACCATGGCCTTCGTCCTTTGCGAGGTATCTGTGCCTTCTTTTCAACCTAATCTGTCACCTACAGTATAAGTGTAATCACAGGAAGGACATAACAGATAAACATATACCGGTAGTTGTTTATGTCATGATTTATACAAGTCCTACTTTATCACCTCTCCCTCTGAAGTCCCTCTCGCTCTCTAGTCATAATACCTAATACCCTGTTGATACCATACACACCACCTTTCCTCTCTCTCCCTATGACACTATTCATAATATCACTGATACAGCTTAATACAAAGCGACAATAGAGAGGATTATTCTTCGTCCTTATTCATCCAATCTCACCGCCTCCCTCTCCAGAGCTTCCTGGAAGTCCCTCTCTCTGCGCTGCTGGTACTGCTGCTCTCTGAACAGACGGTTCTTCCGGATCACCTCCTTCTGCATTCGCATCTGAAGGAGCTGAGCTGCCAAACGCTGCTCCTGCTGAGTCTGACGTGTCAAACGTTTTACCAGCAGTTCTTCTCGCCCTGCCTCCTGCAAAGGTGAGGCAGAGGTGGCTGGTAAGACAGCTGATTGATTTTGGGTTAAAATGACAAATATCAAATAACAGACTGCGTGAGTTTAAACAGAATAGGATGTGTGAAATTGATTATTATTTTCCATGTGGTCAAATAAAATGGATAGATGACCTGACACAAATAATTAGAGAAAGATTCTTCAGGAGGAGAAACGCGGTACTGAATCAATTTGCAAGTCTCCTGAGTGGGTCTCAGTTCTCAATGAGAGGAAAAGTTTCACCTCTTGAGCTTCATGAGCCTTGAGCTGCTCCACCAGGAATCTGCCTCGTCTTTTCTCTCTCTGCTCACGAGCTACAGCATTCTCCTGCAGCCTCTGTCGGATATCCTGTATATACTTGCTATTGGATTGTAAGATCAGCTTAGTTCCACTTCCAGGCACATCACTGCCAACCCCAAGGGGTAAATCTCCAGGGTAGGGCTGACCACTAGAAAGATTCAAATTACATTCAGTATAAAGTCATTGTTCTGATGTATGAGGGTAAATATCTCAGCTCAATATAAAAGTCCATTGAGGGTGGGGTAAGTGATTCCAGGTAATGCAATTGTAATCTAATAGAATCTTTTTTTCAAATTTTAGCGAATATATCGTCACAGCCTGCTAGCTTTGTTGTACGCAGCCCTGGCTCTGTATATGGGAAACAAAGGGGATTGGACCAAACCACACAACACTGATTTGTTATTCCGTGTCAGGTAACGTTAAATGATATGGTGGACATTGTTGTTGTGATGTTAGCTTTAGTAGCTGGAGAGTTGGGAGTATTGTTGTCTGGAGAAAACCATCTTGTCCTCTCGGCATGTTAGCTGCACAACAGCATCTTTAGAGGCAGTTTGCAAACTGACAACATAGCTACATTAGTTACATTACTTGCTGTGTTGTTGTTAGCAGCATGTCATGGTATTTCTCATGGTATTGGATTTCTCCAGAATCACTTACCTTACCTTTAATACATACATTTACATTACATTACAACAGCATAATCCTTCATAAATAAAATATTTATTTTGTCAATATTTCCTTTTCTCTCACCTTGAGGAGGAAGCAAAACCATAATTAACCTTTTTCTTGTTCGTCTCAAACCGGGCTATTTCAGTCTGGACCGTCTGCAGGGATGAAATGAACAGACATTGTAATCATACCAGAAAACAACCAAACTCATGCCACTCTTTTGTTCTCAATTTGGACATGTGTAACAAATGTGCAGGGAGAAATTGTTGAAATTGTGGCATGACAATATCCCTAGAAGCCAAAAATTAAATTTCTTCTATGTGTACATAAATGATTACATTCTTATTTAATGTGCATCACACCTGTGCATGTTGTGCTCTGCGTTTCTGCTGCTGCTGTCTCCTCTTTAGGTTGAGCTGTGAAGTGTAGGGAGGTGGCTTGGGAACCTGGACAATAGGGGCCTGGTTATAAGTCATGATGTCATTGTGCTTCCAGTGACACATCCTCAGCTACAGCATACACACTTCCCCACTGTTAGTAGCATGACTTTCCTTTATTCCATCAATAAGCTTGAGGTTCATCTGCAGGTTAATCACTCAGTACTGGTACAGTATGATAGTTATGTCCAACACCAAAATACTTCAAAGAGTGTGACTGTGTGACATGTGAGCTGAGAAGAAAATACATAAAAAGTACATTTGATAAAGATCTAAACTGTTGACAGCATTAAAGTCTGGACATGAATTTTAATCGTATGTTAAATGAATACAGTAGAAAAGAATTACACTAGTGTATTTTACTTCCCATGGTCTCCAGTACCTTCTCAATATTCTTTGTTCTCTGGATGTCCTGGACTTTGAGCTGTCTCTTTGGCTGGATGGGATGGGTCATCACAGACCTGTCGTTCCATTGTGGGCATTTCTCCTCATAATGCTGAGAAATTTTCTGTAACTTCAGCTCTGCATCACGTTTTACCACTTGATGCAGTCGCTATATAAAAAGAACCACAATTATTCTTGAAAATGCATGTATTTGTAGATACTGATGTTATGTTAGACTAATAATGTGAACTTAAAACACAAGACATATTGAAAGACTAAAAAAGCTAAAAGACAGTGAGAGTTGCCATATTTGACCATTCAGTTTTTCCATTATTGGTATAGATCAAGACAACTTCTCTCAATATTTTTCTACAGAACAAAACATGCTGCCCAAAGAAATAGGCCCCTAACCACATGCACATACATCTATGCAGGCCCCCTTACATCAGAATAGATCTCATGCTCTTTTCTGTGCAGGCCAGCATTGGCTGCAGGCAGCATGATTTCCATCACTGTCCCACTGATCTTTGCTTTCTTCATCTTCTCAAGAGAGACATAGAGTTGGTAAAGGAGGCGTGTGGCAACACCCTGCTTCTCCTGCATGAGTTCCTGGGCTGTGTTTATGTCGAAGGAGATCCCCAGTAACTGGAGTGTAGGCTCAAGGCGGGTAAAATTATTCAGTTTGGCGATGGAGGTGCTATGAGAAAAGGTGTGATTAACTTTAATAATTATGATCACTTCAAATGAGCTGGGGAATTAAGCAACAGTCAGCATGGACAGATATGTAGAGAGAGAGGGCCACTTACTCTTTCTTCATAAACATACTGAAGTCGTTCTGCAACTGATATTTATGCAGAACCTCACCAAGTAAGTAACCACTGGAGAAATTCTTGGCAAAGGTCTTTGGGTCTGTGGAGATGAACATGTAATCATTTAGGCAAAATTACATAGTTTTAACATTTTGTAATGTTGTTTATGGCTTAAAGAAATGTAGGACAACCATCAAAGTAGGTTAGAAGTAGGTTACACTAGTTATGTAAGTTAGGTTTTATTTTTTCCCCAAAAATACCCAAGTATAAACTAACGCAGCTCATAATATCCCCTACTAATCAATATCCCTCGCCTGTGTTGATAAGTTAATACTTTTTTTCATCAACTTTGATATGTAAATACATTCTAAAACAGCTCTTACATTGCTAGCTTTTGTAAATTCACGTATTTTGCCTTTTAGAGTGCCAAAGTAGTCACAGTTAACCGAGTTAGCGTTAGGCTTAGCCTGTAACTATAGTCACTTACCAACAGCTTTTGACAGCCGGAGCTCCTCGTTCAGCCACCTGCACAATATATCCGACATCTTCTTTCTTATTATTTCAACTCAGACAACATTACCTAATAACGTACATATTACTACCAGTTAGGTAACAGTATGACTCTTTAGCTCGCCAATATCGGCTGGAAAAAGTCATGAGCGGTTGATATTTTATGTTGACGTCCCAGTGGGTCACGGTTGCCATGGTGACACGTCAACTGGGTTTACCGGCGTGCTTCAGGGGCGCACTCATGAGAGAAGGCGGGTCCAGCTGGCCCTGGATCAGTTTTCATTTCTGCACCCAAATGAAAAAAGGGATTTGCTGATGGAGAGAACTGATCCAGAAACTGTACAATTTCACACTAAAGAAGGTCAGCAGGGACGTCAGTATTTTTAGCAACACTTGACTGCAGCCACCCTCCTCTGATTGAGGAACGAAAGAAAAGGATTGCTTTAAAACTTTAGTTAGAAAAATGAACGTGATGCTGCCTAAATTGATGACAGCAACAGATGGTTATTTCAATTTCTGACAAGTGAAAAAGGGAACACAGGCAAACAGACAAGTGCCAGACAAATAGCTTTATTGCCTTTAAACAAGTAGCATTTCAATTTCTGTTATTAGTGTTAACATTTATTCACTCAGAAAAGCACTTCACTGTCTCTTTTCATTCAATCAATAGTAAAATATTCTGCAAAATATCATAAATTTTTCAGAAACAAAAGCCTTTTTCAGGTGCATAATACTTCAGTCCTGTTGCCATGCACAACATTAGTCAGTGTCAGCGTTTTAAAGCCATAGGGTAACATAAACATGGTGTTAAAAGGATTTACGAGCCACTGTTTTTTAGTAATAGTTTATACAGCATGCATTGATTTCATAAAAACATCTAGGGCCAGAGATGAAGATGTGTAAGGCAGCAAGTGTACCCTTCTGTATAAACCACAACATCGTAATGTTCTACAGAGTAAACATAGGCTCCAATTAAAAATAAGGATGGACAAGGGGAAAAAAGGTATGGATTGAATAGAAAATTGCATGTCAGCATTTGCCATGTATGAGCGCATGTTGGGTACTCTGGCCCTACTTACAATGTGTCTGGCAAAGCGACACTGCCGTGATAAGATAGGAATGCAAAGCAGGCTAAACTATCATAAGAAGACAGGATCACAATTCTAATTCAGTTTACATGGTTTTTCAGACACATTTAAAAATGATTCCATGTGTTTAAACACACAAATGTACAGTGTGATGCCTCTATATTTCATAGGACTCTATATATCTGGTGTCATCAACACAAACATTTGCCTTTATTCTCTCAAGAAAGCTGGTTAGTCAGCATTAACTCTGCCTGTTGTAGTATAGGGAATATAATTTACAATGTAAAACAACATACAATTTTATATTGTAAGAAGGGAACAAATTAAAGAAATTGACAATTATGTACAGTTAGTTGTATAAAACAAAGATTTAGAGGAAAAATAAAAAAGGTGCCATTTTGTTGATCCAAATCAACATAAAAGCATGTAACACATAGCGTTCATAGGTTAGTCTCCAAAGTCCTGCTTGTTTGAGGAAGCAGGCTTCAAAGGAAAACAATCTGCAGCCATGTTTAAATACTCAAAACTATACCCACCCTTTACCGCTGTCTTGAAGTGATCACTGATCTCACGCAATAAATCTGACTGGTTCACTGTTTACTCAGATCAACTGGTGCAAGTGTAGCTTTTGACAAATTACTTATCAAGTTAAAATTCAGATCAGTGTTACAAGACAAAGAGAAAGAAGGGATACAATTTGCTCAGTAGTCAAAGAGGACTGCCTGCCTGTTATCAGATCATTAGTGAAGCCATTGATTATAGTTAATCTAAGTCATCATTCATGTCACAGTAGTTTTACTTAAAGCTTGTTGGCTGGAGGCACTGAGAAACAATAGGCCACAGGACACAAGCGAGCCAGGGCCTGACTGTGTAATAAAATAAACATCCTGGATAATATTTGCATAATGATGCTTTTGGGAAACCTAACCAACGGTGCATCCTCAACACCCACTCTGTACACAACAGTGTGGTGCAAATGTATGAGGACTGTGTACTTGGGTGATTAATGGCCTCTGTTTGACACTCTTATGGAGATGCAGAAGTGCTGTCAAGCGACCAATACTAACAAGGTCACTTCCTCTCATTTTTGTCAACAAAAGTTAAATTGATGGCATTTCTGGAAATTCTCTATAAATCCTAATAAATGCTTTTCCGTTGGTCCCAGTTTCCAATCACAAAATTTACAAGGAGGCTTAGGAAAACATTTGCAATGAAAAGATAAGTAGTCGCATTTAAAAAATAAAAAAAACATACTTTAAATGTAGTGTTCTCCTTAAAAATAAACAAGCTACCAAGCACAGCAAATTGACATCAAATGTATTATCAGCCATCTCTCTGGACATGAAATTAAAGCAACCCAAGAAAAATAATTCTTCACATGCATACAAATATACTGAGATGGCTCATAGTAACAGCATGGCAATTATGATGCAACCAAAGTTTAGGAATTTCAGCACGTACTAAAACGGATTAAAACATCCTTTGTACACTGCGGTCAGTGTCAGTGGAATCTGTATGTCCAATACATTTCTGATCAGTTCTGAACGGCATTACTGTAAAATATTCTTTCTCATTATACATAACCATTAGGAGGAAGGCAATGTGTGAAAGGTGATGCGGTGAAAATTACTGGAAGCATTACATTTATCATGGAAATCTCATAATTACCCTACTTCTCATAAGATGTTCCATCCAGTTAAAGATACAAAAACATTACATCAAAAAAAGGACACTGGCCTGACTGTGAAATGCGTTTCTTAACAAAAAAAAATGAAAAATTAAGACCAAACAAAAACATGCATCAGTAACATAATAGTGTCTGTGTTAATTAAATTACATCAGTTTGTATTCATGTTCTAGCTTATATCAGTGTATATCCACTGGGCTCATCAGCCACACAATTCCAGACCATAATAGAAAGCACCATTCTTGTAATTGTGTAAAATAATGACTGTCTCTCTCTGCTCACGTTCATAAGTGCATTTTTCAATTAACATCTCACTGACAAGTAATTTGTGAAAAATAGATCATGTCTGTAAGGATAGGAGCTATCTTGGTATTGATCCAGGAGAGTGCTCTCTTTATATACCTTTCAAATCATTTTTTATAGCCAAACACCTTTTTTACATTAATTAGATCATCAGCAGAAGACATGGACACTAATGAGAGAGAGGTTTTCTTCCTACGTAGCTACCTTCTGTTGAAACTGTTCTTCTGTAGTGATCTTCCAAAAATGTCCTTAATCTTTGCAATGTGCAGTCATTTGGTTTGAAACTTTCTTCCTTTCCGTTTTCTTCTGTAGTGTAGTAAAGTTCACGTCACAATAAAGTAAAAAACATCTGAAAGGCAAGCTAAAATCTAGATGTACTTAACTGAAACACAGGATATGCCAATGATAAATGCCCATCATAGGGAATCACAGAAAAGGCAGTGAGGGGAAGTAACAGCCACCAGGTTTCCAGGGGGTGCAATAAATATAGTGGAAGTATAAAGAAATCTTTTGAAGAGATTTGTTGTCAGAATAGAAATGTTTTTTGACATATAAATATACAGATTTTGATATTTTTGATATTTGCATGAGTAAATTAACTATATACATAGGTCTGTAAGTTTGGAATAAAAACCATAAATAGCATAATTAACCTGCTGTCCAAGTGCAACTGTAAGAAAGTAGTGCTACTTTAGAGGGGATATTTACCTACACCATGTGGGTAAAGCATGTCTGATGCATGACACTGTCTGAACGTTGTATTTTGATCCCCCTGGCCTGGCGGCTAGTAGTGTGACTGAGATAATATCACGGTTTTGTGGATGACAGCAGGTTGGTGAACCAGGTGGCTGCCGATGATGACAGCTGTCGTTTCTCCTCCCCGTGTTCCTCTTCATCAGGGAGGAGGAACTGTGTAGAAGCAACAGAGGTGGGGGATCCAAGAGAGGGTGCCAGGCCGCAACTTTCCCCGGCATCCACGTCAAAATTCCAGGAGCTCTGGGGTTTGTAGCCCCCGCCACTGGCAACCTGGGGATCTAGGAAAGGCTCGGGTGAAGCCGGGCGCATGTCATCACTTTGGGCTCTTGTTTGCATCTGGGGCCTGTAACCCCCTCCTCCACCCACACAGCTGGCAAACTGATCAGTTTGGGGTTGGTGGCCCTCAGAGAAGCCCTGTGGGTCCAGCTGGAAGACCAAAGAAGACCCTGAGGTCTGAATCCCTGTGTACGTCACATCGGTGCGTGCTGAATCCAAAGATGATGCAGAAGACGTAGAGGAGTCTGGGTAACGTGGTCTTATGGGCCGCTCGTCTACCACATGGTTGTAGTAGCGTAGTGACGTTGGCTCATCTGTGTCGACTGGCTCGTCTCCTATCCCCTGCCCTTCTTCATCCTCGTCTTCTTCAGGAATGACGACGAGCATTTCTTTACTGGAATCCCACTCTGGCTTTTCTACAATATGGACCATACTGTGGGGAGATGGCTTCACATCCAACGGCCCCTGTAAGAAAGAGTAATTAAACACTTTACTGAGTAAGCTTGAAATGGTCAATTGTAAGCTCTATATACAGAATTACCACACAATGGGTTTAGTCATGAGGGTAAAATTGCATAAGGCTGATACTGTACCTGTGTCCTGGCCCAATCACCAGGAAGCTTGGGCTCAGGTATGTCTGGATAGAACGCCTTTTTCACCCTGGTCACAATGCAAAACGACACATACATTATCATCAAAAGCCTATACAAATACAAATAACTGAACACACAAACATGATAGGAGCATAACAGTCTCACCATTTCCTTTTCTTGTAGCAAATAAACGTGACAATGATGAGGAATAAGGCTGTGATTCCCAGTGAAGCCAAGATTTCCAGGATCAGCCAATCAGCTATCAGGGCAAAACAGTAGAAATATTAGAGATATCAGAAACTTAAAGCAAGATGATTATTTTTCATACTTTTGGGTATAAAGCAATGTGTAAACTTAACTCAAGTGTGGTTATTTGAAAGTACAGAAAACATTCACATACTGTATAGCTCCAACATTATGGAGGCAGTGGCGCCTGTGTCCTCGCCTGCTGAGGTGTATGCCTTTACAGTAAATTTATAGGAACCCTCAGAGAAACCTTTTACTGTGTAGTTCCTGGCTCCTTGGTATGACAAATTGGCTGTTCAAAGGACAGGACAAAGAAAACAAAAAGGGAGAGAGGCACGGGAAAGAAAGAAAAGAAGGAGAAAGAGAGAGGGGTGGGAGAGTGAGGGAGCAAAAGGGAAGAAAGTGAGTGAGTTTTACAGAATACAAAATGCACTTTCAACAACATTGAGAGAAATGAACATTAAATATGCATGTTTATTTTCGATTCATTTTTCAAGCACTGTAGACAGTACAGGTGGCATTTCACATCATGACATTTACCTAGAAGTGCGAGCTGGGAGCCATTACTGATGTAAACATTGTAGCCCTGGATGAAGCCTCTTCTTTTGACCAGCGGGATCTCTCCCCAGGTGAGGAGAATATTAGAGTCCTGTTGACTGGCTGACAATGATACAGAACCGGAAGGGACTATAGAAGCAGCAACAAAAGGAGGAGAGAGAAACAAAAAAAAGAAGAGGGTGGGAGGCATAAGAGAATGAGAACAAATCAAATGTAATTTGCTTTTTCTATAAAGGATCAACTTTTTACATGCAGCGCTATCCTTACCCAGCTCCTGCATGTATCCCTGCCAGCGCTGCTGCAGCTCTGGGGCCTCTGAGGAGCAGCTGTAGAGGGAAAAGTTGTACCTCACACCTGGCTGGAAGTTGGCTGATGGAAAAGAAAACGATTATTATGTATTACACAGTATAATTTAAGGTTTGACAGCCCCCTGCTGGCAGACACTAGAGATTAAAGTTCTGTTTGAGTATGTGAGAAGGTGAAAATCCTGTAACACTGATAGCCAAGAACAGCAGGGGGACAAAGATAGTAGAGTTTTTAGCCTGTAATGACTGCAGAAATACACACAGTACATTTGAAATATGCAGAAAACAAAGCACAGCCTTAGTTAACTTAATTTTAAAGACATCAAGGCTGGCATACCTGACTCAACGGTGACATTAGTGTTTCTAGCAGCCACCTTGATCCACTCCACAGGGCAGTCCCACTTGCAGGAGGCCTCATGCCATTCTACCACATAACCACAGGTGGAGTTGACATCTTTCCACCAGAACAGAGGAAAACCACTGTCTGTATGAACTGCCCTCGACACAACGAGGGGTTCCACATCTGGAAAGAAGAAAATATGTATACAGCAATTTCAAACCCACATGTCTTTATATTCTCCTTTCATAACTTATTGACTGCTGCCTCAAGTGTTTCATTACTGTGGAACGACACCACACCACTTTTTAGATGCTAAAACATCCTAAACACACTCTCGCTCCATTTCCACATACCTGTCAAACGCAGAGGTATAAGTACACTGGCGGGTTGAGACTCCCCTTCATTGTTCTCTGCAATGACGGTTGCTTTGATCTTGTTACCACTGAAGGTAGCAAACTGTGTGAGGTTGATTGGAGCAGCAGTAGTATCCGGTGAAAACATTTCTGTGTGCTGTTGATTTTCTTCAGGGCTCCAGAAAGTTACTTTATAACCTGTGATCTGACCGCGGCTCTGTCTTCGAGTCAGAGGCTGGAAAGAAAGCCAGAGAGAAAGGATAAAGACTAAAAATAGAAGAACCTTTACAGGCAATGCATGTTTGTCATTTGTTTATGGCTTATATAAACATGGTAAATCTGCGCTCTACGCAGCAAAAACAGCAAACTATATAGTCTATTTTAAATCTACAAACTATATCGAAAACAATTTAGAATTTCAAAAATTACCTTCCATATGACCTGCCCAGTGTTGTCTCTGTTCATCCACATCCACACATCAGGAGCCTCTGGAACTGTCAGAAGACAAAAAAAATACAACTGAAAATGAGAACAGCACCAGGGACATTTCTGCTATTTAAAGCAAAGCAATAAAAATATTTTGAGCCTGAAAGTTCATTATTGATGTTAATTCTTAACACAAGGTCCATTTACTTTCTTACTTACCCATATATTACCACCTCTACACATGCACATGACCATATTATAATATTCCATATTTAATGTTACATGAACCATCCCCCAAAATTTAGCAAACTGAGGAAGGCCACAACATGTAAAGATCAGGAACATTTCCACCTTGAATGAAGAACTGTTTTTATGTAGATAAACATACCTCATGTATAAAGTCAAACAGATGCCAAACATGAACTAGTTCCACTAGTTTTCATTGTTTTGTATACATATATATTTATAGGTTTTGGATTGTTGGTCAAGAAAAACAAGTGATCAAAACATTTTAGTCTAAATCATTAATCGCAAAAAGAAAAACCCACAATACACAATCAGTTATGAATTGTCATTATTTGGAGCCCTAATTCCCTATCCCACTAAATCTCTGCTAAAATAAAGAGATACCACAAAAAAAAACCCCTTACCATAAGTTTTGGTTTTGAAGAAAAATGGTTTACTCCAGTCTCCCCACTTCCAGAAATTCTGCTGGGCACTGCAGCGGACTTGAACACTGTAATCCTCATCAGGATACAGGTCTGGTAGATCCACCGACCGCAGACCCACACCAGAGAAGGTATGCTGGACACATACATTAGACCTCATTACTGTTTGCTCCATTGTGAGTCACACAAATAGAGAGAGCACAAGCTTGCATTTGTTGAAAGTAATGTGGTCGGTAATTAGTATTTTGTACTGAAAATGTGGTAGAAGAACAGAAGTGATATTGTCTGACTGGAATACTGTATATACACAAATGGATATATAACAAAGTGGCCTTCCCCTGCAACACACAAACATTAGCACACACAGAGAGACAACTCACCGTTGTTTTATAGCCTTGGGAGCTAAGCTCTACCTCGCAGACAAGAGCCAGTGAGGAATAGGTGCTGTACTTCCACTGCCAAAGCACAGTGGCATACCAGGCATGGACGATAGAGTTCACGTTAGCAGGTGCTTCTGGACGCACTGAGAAGAAAGGGTGAAACAACAATGAGTGAACTAAAGAGAAAAAAAACAACTAGTATGGCTGTATTTCATGTCATGGTTTACTTCTAATTTGGTATAAAAGTGTTTAACAGGGCTTTTATTATGACGGGTCACTTCCGGTCATTTCCGGTGACCGTAATATGATACCACTTGATGACGCCACGCTTGGTGTGGCCGAGCCCAGTGACAAACTCACAACAGAGGATTAAAGTGCAGCACAAGAGCCTGCCTTTTCCTTGAGATTCCTGATTAGCGCAACCCCTACTGAGGGTTTATGGCTGAAGTTAGTGTATGCCACTTTAAACACAACGTCTGCCAGCTGACTCTACTGGAGCGGCACACTGGAAAGTTAAGGCCGACGTGTTGCTCTGCAAAACAAAGCAACGGAGCGAAACGCCTTTCCTCCTGCGACCTGCACAAGCGGACACCGCAAAGCAAAGGCTTTTTGGATGTCGGAAATCTTTTCAGCCTGACTCATAAAATAAGATAAGATGTTTCTTTATTGATCCCCCGTAGGAGAAATTCATCAACAACAGGCGGACCAGCACGCAGCACACCAACTTTTTTTCTTTAGTTTAGTTTGTTATATTGTGTGTTATTTCTGTTTTGCTTTTATTATCATTTTAATAAATGCTTGTGTTTATACATGCTAGCCTATTCTATCTTATATCTTTTTTATAGCCAAAATTAATTGATTGCACTGTTCGGTGCCCTTTCAAACCACTGTTGTACCAACAAATGGTGCCACTGTGTTTACCATAGCACCTACAAAAAGGAAATCATGTGTATCCATCTGTTGATGTTAAGAGTGTTACACCTACCTCTGTGACTGAGTTCAGCAGAGTAGGTGAGGCTGTACTGGCCGAGAGGATTTTGAGCTACCAGTGTCCAGTTACCATCCCACTGGTCCATTATACACTTTCTTTCCCTCTGCGTCTGCGGACAGATCCTACAAACAAAACAAAACAGATAAAATACACAGCGGATTCGCAAAGAGTACAAAAACAACCAAATTAAATTACAATAAAATATCATCACTTCATATTCTCAATCTAAATTACAGCTGCAGACACATGCCCAAACACATTTTTAATGTAACTTCTCCTCTAGCCAGCCTTCAGAGAGTTCCTGTAAAAGGTCTGGCAGACAGCCAAGCCACTATCAATGTTAAATGGACACACAGATGCAGCAAGTGGTTACTTAGACTAAGTGCTTTATATTTCTTGTCATCCTCTCTCTCTTAGTTGATTTTTGCTGGACAGAAGATACTTTTTAATGAAAGACAGGGGGAACAATCATTAATAATGCAGGGATATGATGTCAAAAACAAAGTGACATTGTACAGCATCCTGGCATGTCTACGAATGGCTATGAATCTGACCCAAAAAAACATCCTTCCATCATTGCCACATCTGTCCCAGCCAATATGAATGCCTGCATAGTGTTTCCAATATACTCTGTCTGTGCTTTTTCCTATTTTACAACACTCTGGATCAGCGTCAGACAAAGAAACCATCATGTGATCAATAGGCTTTTTTTTAATGTGAACCATTAAACAATCGATATATTGTAGAATCTGTAGCCTGCTTTTTATGAATGAGTGTGTACAGTTAAGCTACCCAACCCGCGGCCTACAGTTTCCGACAAAGTATCAGGTTGCAGGTTGGGTTACAGCTCAGGTGAAGTTTAGCTATTCTTAAAAGTGATTCATCGCGTTTTCGATTGCAACTGTGGTACCTCTTGTTCAGGGAGTAGAGTGTTCTTCGTTTGCCATACAAGTGGGTGTCCCGTCCTTCGTTCCACTGGCACACAGCTGAGATTAAGTCATGAGTCTCACACATCAAATCACTGGGCAGTGGTGGATCTTGGGTAGGGGACAACAAGAAGAAACGTACTTACTTGCTTCATCATATAAATATAAAAGTCAAGCTCTAAAATAGTCTATGTAATCGACTTCCTCTCTTTGCCACCCCAACCACATCCACCCATGTTAAGATATAACAACCATTCACACTTCAGTTCTTATCCATCCAGTTATTTGTCTTACATCCAACAAACACCACAGCTCCAGTCAGCTGTGTCTTCGGGTAGTCGTAACAGAGGATGTTGGTTCCTGTTCTGACGGATGGTTCCTGATTATACACTGTAGTGGCATAACTTCGCCTACTCAGTTGCATCGTGTTCATGACTGTGTTGCTTTGTTGGATGTTACCAAAGACCTTCCCCTCTTCCACAATGCAACAGAAGGTGGTGTTGGCACCCACAGGTACAACTTTGTCCTGTGGGTACATCTGGAATTTATCATTGCTGGGGAGATCACTTCCTGAAAAGAAGGAATGAGGATTGAGACAAAAGGAGCGATATAAATAGAGGTTTATATTTAGGTATAAAGGAAAGTCATTTGGAGAGACTTCAAAGACAACAGGAATTTAGAGGAAGTCTTTACTCCTACCGAAGAATAAATACATTATGGTCATCCCAAACTGACAGGTCTGGCAAAGCAGTACTTCCGTTCTTGATGTCCTATACTATATATGGGGGTAATTATTGACCCTCTGACCTTGAAGTATCTGAGTGCTGCTCCATTCACTTGTTGTCTGTCCATCTCTTGAGCGGATTTTGATCGACAGCGATGTACACTCCAGAGGTTCAACTGAGGTCCAGTTCCACTGGTGCCGACCACTTACCTGATTCACTGTCACAGACACAGTCTCCTGCAGGTAACACACAGAAAACAGTGAGGGAATGAACCAGGACAACATGAAGCTGGTAGATGTTGGTGATGACAGTCATAGTTCAAGCAGGAAAAGAAACAATTGTATCATCTGCATAACCCAATGCATTAATGTCAAATCAAATAACCTATTACTGCAACTGCATAGGTTTTTTGAGTTATTATTTATCATCAATAGCTCTTTCTAAAGCCAACATAGTGACCAAACTTTGCTCATTGCAGATTCATCTGTGTCCAATAAAAGTCAATACCAAGAAATGCCAAGACATCAATAAACAGAAGTGCCAAAATATACCTTTTATATAGTTTGTCCACCAGAGAGTATAGACAAGTTTATTTTTCAACTGTAAAATGACCTGCCCAGTTTCATTCTCGCAATTGTTTAAAGAAACAAATTTAAGGGAACTTTATCAACTATTTATCAGTTCTGTAAAGAAAATCAATGTTGACTGTCGTGTTGTTTTCAATCAATACTGGCTGCTATATTGGCCTCAAAAATCCTTTCACATCGGTGAGTGTAAACAACTTGTAATATAACTGTACATCAAGAAAAGCATGAAAACAAAAGAGCAAAAAGAGAAAGGCTCTTACATAGAAGACAGTTTCATTGAATTCAGTTCGTAGAATCATGAGGTCAAAGGTTGTGGCTGTTCCTCCCAGCCAGGATATAGAGAGTTGCTTCGTAGACATGTTGGCTGACAGGCTAACCTGCTCGGGTACAGTAAGGTCTGGGAAAAAAAAAAAAAAAGGATCAGGACAGGATTAAGTGATTTCAATGGATATAGATGTATAGACTTTGGGATATAGACTCAAAACAACTTTAAATGAGCAAACATGGTTTTAGTATCAGCCCCGCAGAGCCACAGAGGAAACCTTTCCATGTGAACCTGCGCCACTATTAAACATGATGTGCACTGAGAGTTGCAGATTATAGTTTTATCAGAATGTTGACTGTTGTAGTTCTTACCCTCTTTGGCATGAGTGTGCATAGCCGAGAGGCCCAGGAGAGCAAAAAAGAGCCAGACGGGCCTACAGTTAGGCTTTGAGCTGGAACTGATACAAGGCATGGTGATCAACTGGCCGAGTCCCTGTCTACAGATCCTAAGGTGGTGGTCCTCTCCTCTACAGCAACACCATGCTTTCTGAGAAGTTAGACACAGACAGAGGGGACCCTGTGAGAAAAAAAGACAGCAGAAGAGAGGAAAGGATAAATGTTCAATGAATACAATAGAGATCTGCTAACATAACCAAAAACAAGGTCTGTAGGTCGGTAGGTCATTGGATGGATAGATAGATAGATAGATAGATAGATAGATAGATAGATAGATAGATAGATAGATAGATAGATAGATAGATAGATAGATAGATAGATAGATAGATAGATAGATAGATAGATAGATAGATAGATAGATAGATAGATAGGGATTTGGCTGGTTTTCTCTTCTGGGGAGGAGCTGCAATCCATTTCACAGTTTTGAATTTCTATGTAATAATTCCTTGCCAGCTATGTTTGTTGCAAGAATACAAGCCAAAGCCAAAAGTAACATTGTGAGGCAAAGCCAAATTTTATATCGAAACAAGAAAACACATCTGTCCGGCAGCTGCTTTCACGCTTGATTTGGAAATACACAAGTCAGAGAATGCTGTTTATATAAAGCTCACCCTTTTAGCTTATTCAGTCTGCCTGCCCTCTTCTCAAATTGTGTAGTTTTTGGATGTTGAAGGCTATCTCGCCGCTTATCTACTAACAATGCAACTAGTATTTGTGAATAGCCAGATGGTGATCAGGCAGAAAGTAAGGCTGGGGACAAAGAAGGCTGACAGCTGTGGGTCCAGTATGATGAACTCATAGATGATGCCTTATGTAACACACTTGGAATTGCCTGTGTTTATTAGGTGTTGCACCATGCCTTACACTTTCTAGAACATTTAACTACTACTTTCAGTATCATTTGATTTCAGTATTATTTTAAATCAGATATATTACAGCCAAACATGAGTACACACTGCAGCCAATCCCCAGAGCAAGATATAAATTATTGCAGAAATTAATGGTACATTTAAACTGCATCACCAGCAACATTTCAAGTAGACGCATGACCGACTCTCAAACACAGACACATCTATTTAAAGGCAGATGGAAACGATAAAGATAAATATACAACATGGGGGAATTATTTAGCCACCAGGATAACCTTTTTTGTTATACTGACTGGAAGGTCACAGTGTATTAATTTCTACTGCCAGTATATCTTTCACTAGAAGCTTGCACTGCCACAACAAGTTAAAAAAATGAAGAATAGAGCTGAAATAAAAACCAATGACGTACCTGAACCTATTATTACATAATCTGCAACTTTTAACTGATTAAGCATTTAGTCATTTTTGTCTTACAAAAATGCCAACATGAATTGGTTCCAACTCAATTATGAGAATTATGCTGCTTTTTTGTCTTATGTGACAATAATCTGAATATCTTTGGGTTTTGGACTGTTGGTCTGAGAACAAGCAATTTATGAAATTAAGATTAAGAGTTAATTAAGAATTTTCTGATTTCTTATAGACCATGGTATAAAATATCTTATGGTCTAATACTTGCAATGCATTCATTGCATAAGGATGGACTCAACAGAGCCACATTAGTAACACTGCAATACTAGCACAATAATGGGGATACAAAGGGACAAGAACAAGATATCAAGTGTTTCAGACTGGCACGGTGAACAAAATTCGGTTAACTGCAAAAACAAATAGGTGGGGACGCAAGGTCAAGGCTCAGTACATTATGTGATTGTTGTTCCCTCTACAAACACAAAATCAACATGACTGATTAAAGCACAAAAGCACATGTTGCAATCATTTCGTTATGAGACCTGGCCCTGATCAGTGTTCATGTGCTCAAATGTGTATGAGATTCTGTGTTGTTCGTGTGTTTAACCGTCACCAAAACGCAGCAGTGCAGTTTGTCTGGTTTCCCTCGAGACAGGCTGGGACAGGCTTCAAACAACTTGGTAGCTTGATAAAACAATACTGTCAAGTACAGCCAAGCCCATTACTGCAATAACATGACCTGAATGCAAAACATACAGACACACACAAACACACATACCAAGCCCATTTTAGATAACTGAATAAAAGAGTCTAACCCTAACCTGAACCATCTTTGTGAAACAAATCATTTATTTAAATCAAACATAATTTTAGCAGGTTGTTTCATTTGATTCATGATGTGAAAAATGCAAACCTTACAAAACAAATGAGACATTTGTTCTGCATCTGGTTTCATAACTTATCAGTGTCTGCTAACAGATAAGCTGAAAAAAAGTTCAGAGATAGATTAAAAATTTGCCCTAAAAGCTATAGCAAAAAACAATGCAAGAATAAAACAGCCCTGCTCTCAAATCTCTGTAGCCTGACAATCTGTTTTTTAAAGTATATAGTGGATGATATATAGTTGTTTTTCTTTCACAATCCAGGGAGCAAAACAAGCTGCTACAGGTGCTGAAGACTTGCAGAGAAAGCCTACATTACAGTAAAGGACAACAGGATCGCTTATCTAGCCTGATTATCTAACTGCCTGCTCACAGTTTCATTCCAAATCACTGGTTAGTTTGGTTTTATTTGTATATAGACTGTGGCAGAATGCAAAACAGGGTTAGGGACAGGGATAGCAAAACAACAGGGCACTGTAAATAATACAAATCTGTGTAGGTTAGATAAAAATATATTCAAAAGGGTACCTTTCATTACAGAAATATATATTACATACAAAGTGAAGAAAAGATCAAGTAAAACAAATAAATGAAAAATTGTGTCTAAAGGAATCTATAAAAAAACATCTTTATAATCATTTATCTGGTGCACTACAAGATTTCCTTTCCTTTAGATGAATTTGTAACGGCAGGAGTAATAGAGGAATTTTGAAATATCAGATGTACCTTTACATCTGCTGGCTCCTTAAGTGGTTTCACATACGTTATAAAAAGGGCTCCTATTCAGACATGAAGCGTGCATGGAGGAACAACTGAAGGCCTGCTGCTGCTAGATTAATATGGTGTAAATACTGCAACCAAGCCACGTCTTCAGAACTTTGGCATCGACTTGGTACTGAAGTATTGGTTCTCGTACCATCCCTAAAGCTTATACCCTGCAGGCAGCTATTTCTGAAGCCAAAACACAATCACTACTCTTAATGTGATTTCTTTTGACTTGGTTATCTCAACACTTGCGCTGTTGTCAACCCAAATGCGCGCTGCTGACTCTTTCCACAGTTGGCTTGGATTTTAAAAGTCTTCTAGTGTGTTCTTGGCTTAAACAAATATCACCTCCAGATGAAATTCAGAGGCATGGCTCAACATAAATACAGCTGTTGAGTCAAGGTTTCACACACTTCTGTGCCTCCACCAAAAAGGTTTCTGAGCCTGTTGCAGTCCCCACATGAAAAGAACAGTTATATGTTTAAGTGGTACTGGACCTTAAAGAACTTTATTTTTCCAACTTCAGCACCAGTCTGAAACATTTTAAGACCTCCAATATATCCTACGACCAACTCAGCCCTGGGAAAAAAAACAAAAACAAAAAAAAACATAGGGCACTGATGGGAACCGGGAAAAATAGCTGTAGATTCTGGGAAATCCAACCAAGAAACTGATAGCCACAAATGTACACCAACACCCAAATCAATACTTCTCTGCTGGGCTCTGGTCCTTGTCCTTGCAGCAGTAATAAATATGACCACAAACTACAGAAACCACAAGGATATTGTTGTTACTTAAAAACCAAGCCTAAAACTCATCTGTATGGCTAAAGTAGTCTTATTTTAGGAAAGAACAGACTCACCTAAAAGCAACGTCAGGATTTGGAGTTTGCCTCCTCTTGCAACACTGCACTTTGTCACTGTTCTGTTTGACTATTCAGCCATGTAAAGCAGTCTTCGGAGTAAGCCATGGAAAATGTCCAGGTATACTTGCACACAATATATACCGTGAGGGACTCAACCCCTGGTGATGCAATCATTTCTCAGAATTGAAATTGTCCCTAGTTTACCGTTTCTAATGGTATCTAAACATGAGTTGGCACTAGAATATTGGTACAGCCAGTAAACATAATATACCCCCATTTCCAGTAAAAAGAGATTGTGCAAGTCAGAAAACATGCAGTTACTGGTATAGGCAAAATTGAGTGTGTTTGCTTTGTATAAGTGTGTATGTGTGTTGGTTGGAGCACTCTGCGCTTCACATGATAACTATTTTTGTGTTTGTAATGGTTAGTTAGCAGTTAATCCGTTTATTATTTAGTTGTTTTTGTAAAAGTGTAAAATGTCAGAAGAAATATTACCATATGGCCATCACAAGTTTCCAGAAATGTAAATTCTTTTTGTCTAACAAGCTGTATCCAGCAAAAGTTTGGTATATTTCATAAATTATGCGTTACTGGTGGGGAAAAAAAGTATAAGATTTATATTTAGTCATACTTAATCTATCAACTATTTCAACACTAGATTTAGTCTAAAAGACATCCCATACTATGAAGTCGAATGTTACCCTCGCTAGAACCAAAACCAAAACCAAAATACAAAATAAATTGAGGCCAAAGCCAAAATTACTTCAAACTACCACTCCTTGGAAAGAAAGAAAAAAACACTACAACAAGCAAAACAAGTTTCATCACCATCTAAATAGGCATCAGACATGTGATGGGACCTTAAATATACGAGCTATAAAAGGTTTCCATCAAATAAATAAGCATTTTCTGTCTTTGTCCATTTGTAAAGCACAGCCCCCCAACAGTAAAGCACCATACTATCACAACTACATAAAAAACAAAGATCAGAACCTCTGACAGTACTTTCTTTACATAAAAGTGTGTGGGATGGCAGCTGAAGCCAAACTCTGGCAAAACTTATGTGTCTGTTCTCAGCCTACACTCGGCAACGCTGTCATTATGCTGTCATACGATGACCACCAAGACTAAGGAAATAAGCACACAGTGGCTCTAGTATATTATACAAGTGTGGTGACTTTTGGAAACATGAGCTTAAGTTGCTGCTAATTATGTTTGACCTTTAAATGGGACGAGAGGAGGACCGGATGCTAGTGAGAGAGTAAGGACAAAACAGGGAGAGTTAACAGATGAGTGTGCCTGTGTGAAATGTCGGTGCTCTGACCTCAGTGGAGAAGGGGACATTCAGTCCTGTGTGTGTAGCTTTTGGACTTCAACCAAACATCGTTTCCTTCCTTCCCTTTCCCTGTAAATCTTTATGAATGTAAACGTAAATCTTAGAAGCAACAGGAAGTGAGTAAAAACGCCATTTTTAGAATTTATTATTTGCTTTTAGTTGTTTGCTTCCAAATTCACTGGCTTAAAACAATTAAACACACACAAAAGCATACCAGTCAAACCCCAACGCCTCGTGAGACAAATTAGTCTTATATTTTTAGCACAAACACAACCAAGTGACTGGTGCTAAAGAAAACACACAAACAGGGCAGCCATTGTTCGGCCAGGTACGAAGGTGCCTTAGATTTATCCAGTTTGTTATGGTGACTAATGTTCAGTGTTTTTTTTTTACTGAGTCATACTATAACGACAGTACATAGCATGAAAAAACAGTTTTTGATATTGACACCCACATAGGAATAAAGTAGATTTATTCCATAAGAACATGAGGGGAAAAGATAAAGCACAAGCAATTCTTATTCTTTACGGCTGGAAAAAATTAAAGGGAAGACTGCACCAAGGGAAAGAGGAGTGTTCAAGTATCAAGGCTAATATGGATCTGTTAGACGCCAATGTAAATGCATGTAAATGTTACCAAACAGGCATCAATTGTTTCCCCCATGCAGGTGCACACAATATCAGTATAACTGTTAACCAACAGGTATCAATTTTCTCCCCTCTGCAGGTGAATACAATATCACTTTAACACAGATGAAGGAATGATTGCTCTGATCCACCTAAACCTTCTGATACACTAACTGTATTTCCATTTTTTTCCCAAGTTACAGCTCTGAAATGATCTAATGAAAAAGTATTGTAGTAACACTGTTACCTGTAAAAGTAACCAACTACTGGGTAGGGTAGGTTATTACAGGATCCTAATTTTTTTTTAGAAAAGATGTGATAATATCCCCATCCCGTTTCTATAACAACATACTATATTTTACAGAGAGGGAAAACAGCTCTTCTGTGCTTGCAGATCATATTTAAGCAACATACTATGATTTGTTATTTAATTGAGTACATTTTGTGTAGAGTTAAACATGGTCCTTTTTGAGACCGAGATAAACAGCCACAACATGTTGCTGATCCATACTGTAGCAAACTGGCGAGGTAATCAAAATATTAAGACATGATCAAAAAAATATCAGCTAATATGACCATAATATGAAACCTCTATGATGACGAAATGACGCACAATAACAATAACAATCATGTTATTGTTTACTAAAAATGTATTAAAGGGTTAGGGTTATTAAATCTATTAAATATCTATTTTTTTTAATATTCTGATTCTGTTCGTACAGGAAAAGTGGCTAATACAGCAGATATCCCAAACTGCATCATCCCAACATGCTTTGCATAACTAGCATTAGCAACTGGGCAGCATGATAGGTAACATCATTCACGTTGCAAATCACAAACAACGGACAAACGGCGATTACACTTACATATAATGTAGCTATCACTTTTAACAACATGTTTACCAAGGGAGACAATGTACTTCAAATCGGAAAAGCTGAGTTAAATGTCATTATAAATCCACTTAACGTTAGCGGCCAGCACCCTAAATCACACACACACACGCAGACGGGCCACTGGTGTTTGGAAAAACAGTGCTAGCTAACGTTTACCAGGTACAGTCGCTGCCACCTAAAGACGAAGGTTAAACGTTATTGTGAGATCACAAATAACACCAGAATTACCTCTGAAGTAGCAACAAACCCTTTGCAGTGTTGTTCAGGGTATATAGATCCAACAAATCCAGATTCTTGACAATCCTGCCCCTTGGTAGTTGGGTGACGCTAGCAACGCATTCCCAATGAATCTAGGGGAGGTTGGGATTACTGGAATGGAGCGGACCAGGGCGTTTGATTGACGTTTGCGCTGACCAATGGGCTTCGACTATACTGTTTTTCACATGGGGGAGGGCGTTGTCGTGCTGCGTTCAGGTCACACAGGAAAAACGTGTTGTAAGGGTTCACGACCATGGTCACGACACCCGTCCAGACCACCTTTAGGACGCGATTTTCTGGATTCCAGTACTAGAGTAATATGAAAATTTACTGAGTGATGTTCATTGCGAACCTATATAATGATTTCTAACATGCGATGTGAACTTTTTTTATTTAAAAAATTGGAGGATTTTATTGTGGGACACAAATGCACCGTGCGTGTTGACCACAGACTAGCTAGTAAAAATAACCAGACATTTGAAAAATTAAATTTCCTTGTACAATCCCAATATTTAATTTAATAATATACTGAATATGTATCTGTACTGTTGATTGTGCTTTAGGGCTGGGTGATATGGTTCAAATAATTATAAAAAGATTGATAAACATTCGGCTATTGGCTTGAAAAATCTCATATAAAATGATCAAACTGGTGTTAAAAATACCGGACTGTGTTCCACTTTTATCAATTACATGAAACCGAAACCTTTTGTTGTTGTTGAATGACAGTTTGATAAGATTTATTACTTTAGACAACAGTTAAAATAAGATAAGCCTTTATGGGGACAGGGACAAGTTTAAGGAGTCCAAGTACAAGTTTAGCAAGGCGGTGAGAGAAGCTAAACGACAGTACTCTGAGAAACTTCAACATCAGTTCTCAGCCAATGACTCTGGTTCTGTCTGGAAGGGGCTCAGAAAGATAACTAATATATATAACAATATAACTACAAGCCCAAAAGCCCCCACTCCATCAATGACCTGCGCCTGGCAAACGAATGAGTTTTGAGCTGAATGAGTTCTACTGCCGCTTCGACAGACAGAGGAGCAGTCCTGACACCTTCCCCCGTGACACCCCTCACCAGTCCTTCCCCCCAGCAGAAGCCGGATTCACACCTCTGTGAATGGTAAATGGTAAATGGACCTGTACTTGTATCGTGCCTTTCTAGTCGTCTGACCACTCAAAGCGCTTTTACACTTTACACTATTCACCCTTTCACACACATTCACTCAGTGATGGCAAAGCCCATCGAACAGAAACTAACATTCATACACATTCACACACCGATGCACGGCATCGGGAGCAATTTGGGGTTCAGTATCTTGCTCAAGGATACTTCGACATGTGGCACCAGGAGCTGGTGACCCGCTCTGCCTCTGAGCCACAGCCGCCACTCAAAAGACTTCATGACCACAGAGGTGAGGGCAACAGGTCTGTAGTCATTTAGTCCTGTGGTCCTTGCTTTCTTGGGGACAGGGAGGATGGTGGATGCTTTGAAGCAGGCTGGCACATGACATATCTCCAAAGAGGTGTTGAAGATGTCAGTGAACACCGGAGACAGGAATCCCTCCTCCTCCACCACAGTGACGACTCTCTGCCTCCAAGAGAGGGACGTCAACAGACTCTTCAAGAGGCAGAACCCCCGCAAAGCAGCCGGACCAGATTCTGTCTCTCCATCCACCCTGACGCACTGTGCTGACCAGCTGTCTCCAGTGTTCTCTCCTCTGTGGTCATGAAGTCTTTTGAGCGCCTTGTGCTCTCCCATCTTAAAGCCATAACGGACCCTCTCCTGGACCCCCTGCAGTTCGCCTACAGAGCCAACAGGTCTGTAGACAATGCAGTAAACATGGCCCTGCACTTCACCCTCCAGCATCTGGACTCCCCAGGAACCTACGCCAGGATCCTGTTTGTGGACTTCAGCTCTGCGTTTAACACCATCATCCCTGCTCTGCTACAGGACAAGCTCTCCCAGCTCACTGTGCCTGACTCCACCTGCAGACTTCCTGTCTGACAGGAAACAGCATGTGAAGCTGGGGAAAAATCTCTCTGACTCCCAGACCATCAGCACCGGATCCCCTCAGGGCTGCGTTCTTTCTCCTCTGCTCTTCTCCCTGTATACTCACAGCTGCACCTCCAGTCACCAGTCCGTCAGGCTCCTGACGTTTGCGGATGCCACCTCCCTCATTGGGCTCATCTCTGGTGGAGATGAGTCTGCCTACAGATGGGAGATTGACCATCTGGTGACCTGGTGCCGCCAGAACAACCTGGAGCTAAACGCTCTAAAAACAGTGGAGATGGTTGTGGACTTTAGGAAGAACCCAGCCCCACCCGCCCCCCATCATCCTGTGTGACTCCCCAGTTGACTCTGTGGAGTCCTTCTGCTTTCTGGGTACCATTATCACCCAGGACCTCAAGTGGAAGCTGAACATCAACTCCCTCACCAAGAAAGCCCAGCAGAGGATGTACTTCCTGCGGCAGCTGAAGAAGTTCAACCTGCCAAAGACGATGATGGTGCACTTCTAGACCACCATCATCGAGTCCATCCTCACCTTATCCGGCCACTGCCAAGGACAAGGGCAGACTGCAGCGTATCATTCGATCAGCTAAGAAGGTGATAGGCTGCAATCTGCCATCCCTCCAGGACCTGTACGCCTCTAGGACCAGGAAGCGTGCAGGTAAGATTGTGGCTGACTCCTCCCACCCCGGTCACAATCTCTTTGAGATACTTCCCTCTGGCAGGAGGCTGCGGTCCATCAGGACTTAAACGTCTTGCCATAAAAGCAGTTTCTTCCCGTCTGCAGCTATAGCCTCCTTAACAAGGCCCGGATTACCCACTGTCATTGACTCTTATACCAAGCCTGTATATAAAGTATGCATTAATGCACCCACGTTCTTCTGCACAGCTTTTGTCTTTCTCTTCTTATCTTTATCTATTTATTTTTTGAAAGTACTTTATTTTTCTGTGTGATTTTTGTGTGATTTGAATAATTGTATATTTGTATTTGTATATGTGTATATTTTATGCACCAACTGCACCAGGTCACATTCCTCGTAGGCGTAAAAACCTACTTGGCAATAAACAAAATTCTGATTCTGATTCTGATATTATCCCCTGGGTGGAAATTCTATTTCAAATGAAAGAAATTAAATTGAATAATACGTGAAAGAAATTAAATTGAATAATACATGAAATTAATTTAATTTAATAATAAACTAAAGAAATTAATTTAATTTAATAATAAACTAAAGAAATTAAATTCAAAAGCAAAACAGTATATATACATTAAAATACTTTAAGTCACATATTGTGGAAGGAATTGTATGTCCTAGTACTGTAGTGTATGTAGTACATACATGACATAAATATTGATGATTGTAGAATAATAATACCATATCACCAAGTTAAAAAAAGTTGATAACGATAATATGAGTCAACTTGCCCCAATAATTAGGGTTAATATAGTTTTATGAATATACCTATATACCGATATATATACATCTCTATTTCTATTATTATGTCTAGATATATTGCTACATATTGTAATATAATTATTATTTCTCTTCTTAATGTCGTGTAACTAACAAATTTCCACCCGGGGACCAATAAAGTATTTCTAATTCAGATATCAATAGCTGGTACTCAGTATGTGGACTTTCTGGGATCTTTCTTAATGTAACTCTATATAGTATCTCCATTAAATTAATTCTAACTAATGCCTGTACTGAATTAATCTAGGATATTAAAATCAATGTTACACTTTCTTGTTATACGTAAATAAATCTCTGTGCATGTTAAACGCAGAGAGCCATCGATCAGGGGGTGCAGTGGTTCGATAGGGGGCAGCAGCAGGTCCCCGGATGTACTCACACAGCCCGCAGTGAAGAAGAGAAGTGGGCGGGGCTTTGATAGCACTACAGCGCCACTTTTGAGCGGTCGTCCACACCGTCAACAATAACAGACCGCAGGAGTTGTCAGAGGAGTTGTCAAAGAAAGCCGAGAGAACAGTGCCAAGACGGTAGAGCCTTCACTTATATGTGGAAGGTATATTAAATTGTTTCAGTTCTGTTAAATGGTATTTAATAATGTTTGAAACCACAGCGTTTAACCTAGGGGCTTGGCAGCTAACGTTACAGCGTGCTAACGTTACTCTCCTTCGCTACCGATGGTTGCTAGGAGCTTAGCTTGCTAACGCCGCTGGCTCAGTTACCGCTGACAACCGTACACCATCAAATAGTGTAGGATTCAACAGGTTCACTGTACTTTACAGCTTATTTTCTAACTTATAGGTTCAGTGTTGACGCTGAGGTGTTACACTGACATCTAGGTCACTATATTTGTTACCTGGTATCACAATATAACCTGAAAAACCTTTGGAAGTGGCAGTATACCCTAACAGGTCACAATTACTCTTTAGTTACACGTAGTTTTGCACACCACTTATAGACATTTGCGTATGATCACAACTCTTACTGTAAAACAACCTCAGTTGCAGACTGTGGATCACTTGTAATCATTTTATTTATGATGTTTGATCCTCAGACCTTCATGTAACCTTTTCAGAATGGGCCAAAATATTGCAATTAATTAATTGGTCTTAAAACAATACGCAGATTATTGAAACACTTTTTCTCTGTAATGATTCCACCTGTTCGTACTGGCCCTTAAGAGACTCCTTCCAAATGTGAAAAATTTAAATAATAGGGGTAAAAAAAATCCACACTCCTCGATGTGTGCAAAGATGTATTAAAAATGTAGCTGAAGTTAATATGATGCTTTAGCAGACTGAATTAGATAAATCAGGAGAAATTAGTGCGGCAAACTGACTTGAAAAATTGTGAAGTTATCCTTTAAGTAATATTGTCTAAGGACATTGACCTTAGATGCAAATACATGTTTCAAATAGCAGAAATCAAGAATTGGATTGAGCCAGCCATTTAATATACAAAAACAAACTGATGGAGATAAACCTTTTTTGGTGATTCACAGTTTTTCCATCAGTGCCCGAGGAGTGGATAAGATCTCTTGGCCCTATTAACTTTGTATTACTCTGACTAGTGAAACGTTTGCCTAGTGACTTTTTAAAAATACTTTTGTTCCTAGGTCAAAGATGGTTCAAGACAGTGC